TGAAACACATATTTCCGTCCTCTGAACTACCAAACGTGTACCCGGATGCCAGATCAAACGAAAACATATGGCGAAGTTTAGTTAAGAAGTTAAAACATGTTTATTTAAATCTGTAGCGTTTGACTGTGGTGGTCATTTATTATTGTGGATTCACTCGGCGACAACGGGGGATCAACTCGGGCAGGTTTTGATGAATGGAACACGACACTGGTGAGGATAATCATTCAGCATTCAGACACGGTCTTCACACTTCCGGTGGTTAGTTCAGTCACAATCAATGCCTACGAGACACCTGCTGGCTTAGTTTGATCATACACCATGACCCCTCGCTCTATAATCCTAAATGCATCCATGTTTTGTATTTTCATATTGAGTAGGGAAACACGTGGAAAACAAAAAAACAAAGAAAATTCCATCAACAGTGATAATATCTTTGCCTTTTTACTCGTAAACCCCAATTAGAATCTGGTTTAATGGCTGACGGGGAAGGTTCTAAACAGACACCCCAGTTCACCGTAAAATTTGTTTTGCTAACTATCAGGAATTAACTCATTGACAATAAAATATCTGAGGTAATCTTTCAGTATTTGATTGAAATGAAGTAGTATGTGGTTGTATTGGGTATTTTTGGGTTGGTACTGGGTAGTATATTGAGTATATTGGGCTAGTATTGCTTAATATAATTAGTTTGTATTTAGCAGTATTAGATAATATTGGGCAGCACTGAGTATTAATGAGTTAGTATTGGCATATACGGTCCATGGTATTGGGTAGTATTGGGTTAGTATGCGGTAGCATTAGGTAAATAATGACGATGAAAGGAATTTCCTCAATGTGACATTTATATTCTTAACTGTGATATCATTCATTTTTTGATTGAGATTGTACCATAAAATACCCTTTTTGTCACGAGAGAGAGAGAGAAGGGAGAGAGAGAGAGAGAGAGGTTTAACGCCCACTCGACACAAACTAGGTCATTTCGGGACTAACACATGGTTCAATTTTATTTCAATAATTCGCTTGCGCGTAGGGGTCTTTAGCAGTGGGAGGAAACCGTAGGACCCGGAGAAAACCCACGAGGTTGGACAGACCACCCTACTCCTTGTCACGTACAACCGGGGGAATCGAAACCACGCCAGTTGACTCAATGACAGACCTTAAGATACAGCGCGCGTGTGCTAACCATTCGGTTATCCAACCCCCCAAAGAAGTACGTGCTTGGGGCACCAAGGACAAGGGTGGAGCACCTGGTAGTACTTTTCAGCGCCAGATTTACAACGCTATATCTAAAAAATCCACACAACAAACTATAATAATGATAAAATACATTTTATATTTTGATTCCCGTCTTCATTAGCCAGGTTAACGTAGAAAAGTAGGACGTTAAACCACATTTTATTTATATAGTTTAATCTTTTTCATTAATCTACAATTGGATGAACTTATTCCGGTTTTTATTTTTGAATTCTTATTTGGTCCTCAAGAGGTTATAATCCAGCCCTGGAACAACTAAATGAAAATATCGCTTGATAAAAAAAGATTTAATCTAAAAAGATTTTTTTTAAAAAGCACTCAGCATATGGCCAGAGATAATGTGGATACGACGTAGTGTATTCAGTTTGGGAGTTCAGGTGAACCCTATATAGTTGTCTCAGTTCCGTACACACCTGTCGAGTGTAGTGGTCAAGGATAATTATTACCTGAACTTAACAATAGTGACTGAGCGACAGGTGTAGTAGACAGTGGTCATCTTGTTATCTAGAAAAATGTAAGTGACCAATGACAATAATAATACCACAGACCTTGGCCTAAAGGTGGCCATCGGTCAACAATTACAAACAATCGCATATGTTGTGAATTCCTTGACTTTTTCATTCTCTTCTCGTATTTCAACAGCAACATGTCGCCAAAAAAAACTTTATTGGAAACAGAAACTAACAGATGCAATAAAATACACGCATGGCAGGACTTTTTCTCGACCAAATATTTGGTAGAATTGTCGCCGATGTTCATGCACTGATAATATACGTTTTATAACACAAAAATACACCCAAAATGAAATAGGGTTTAATGTCCTACTTTTCTGCAAAGACTGGGTCAATGAAGACGGGTGTACGTCATACAGTTTGATATGTGGGCTATGCCCGGACAGCTTATTCTTAATATCGAATTCCAAATCCAACTGTCGGGTGTTCTGTACATGGGACCTCGGTTTTTCGTACGATCCGAACGACTAGACACTATCCTTGACAGACCCCTCGTCCTGCAATACTGATAAGGCGAAACAACGCCCGAAAATCCCGAGGACCTTGCTCGTCCAACACCGGGAGCAAGTCCGAGACCTCCTGGTTTATACCGAGCCATACTGATAAAATACATAACCGATGACATGCTTTACGTCATGAGTTTAGAGGTTGTGCGCCCTCCCACCCCCGCTCCCACCCCCGCACTCTCTCTCATGTGCAACAGACCCTTTTCTCTTGAATTGATCTGTCTCCACTCCTGTTTTCCTCACGGGAACTTCAAATGTTTCATAATACCGAGTATGTTGGTCATTTGTGTGTAAATGATGAAGAATGTGAAAGGATGATGGATAACAAGTAACAGATGTATAATAAAAGTTGATAAATGAAATGGTTAAAGGAAATATAGTCACTTTATAACCCCCTGTATAACATCTATCATTTACATAGACGTTAAACGGACGACATCCTCCAGAATATGATATAACGAAAAGTCGCCATATTAAGTACGCCATTTGTAAAAGGAAATAAAGACATGACTCTTTGTGAAATGAAATGAAATGAAATGGGGTTTAACGCCCCACTGTGCTGCTCCAACTGGGCTAATGAGCAAATTGTGTCTGGGCAACGGCGCTACGGCCTAATCTTATATAGAATTCCAACTACCAAGGGATCTTTTACGTGCACGACAATGTGCACTAGGGACCCCGGACTCTCATCCCATCCGAACAACTATACATTGCCCCTTGCCAGGCACTCTATCCTGCACCACTAAAGAGGGGGGGGGACAACCGAAAAAATACCGATGACCTTTCTTGGCCAATACCGGATCGAACACGGGACCTCCAGCTTAACGAACCAACGTCTTACTCACTGAGACACCGCGACTCCAAAATGTGACTTTTATTTTAAACTTTTTTTTTACACCAAACTACATGTATAATTAATTTTATATCGTGAATTAAGGCATTTTCAATAAGTTCTCCATACAAGCACCAGTGAAAGCGCTATAGAGGTGCGGGGGTGGGGGAGTAGTGTTCGTAACCTATACTACATCCTCTTAGTGTGTGTGTGTGTGTGAAATAGCTTTATTTAACGTCCGCTTCCACCGAAGTGATATCGCAGACAAACATCCTCTTAGTCCATCCCTGGCTTTTTATATCAGATTATTAGATTATAATTAATTTTTGCTTAGTGTATGAATTATGATTGATTTGATGTATGAATTGTAATTTGAGTGTGTGAATTATGATTGATTTGATGTATGAATTGTAATTGATTTGAGTGTATGAATTATGATTGATTTGATGTATGAATTGTAATTGATTTGAGTGTATGAATTATGATTGATTTGATGTATGAATTGTAATTGATTTGAGTGTATTAATTATGATGGATTTGATGTATGAATTATGATGGATTTGATGTATGAATTGTAATTGATTTGATATATGAATTATGATTGAACAAAGTGTATAGGCTACTGATGCCCGCAAGTGGGAAAGTCAAGAAATAATCTTGAATCAGTATTAAATGTATATAGTGTTGCGCGTTTGTAGTTTATTTAAAAAAAAACAACATCCAAGTCTTAAACAATATAAATAAGAGGTTATCTATTATACAGTATATAGTCGAGAGGCTAGCTCCCTTATAGCTAGACAACCGCGGTCTCTGGGTTTTAGATGGAATCGCGGAGTGTTGAAACTGTTCGTCGTTCGTTAGTGAAATTTAACATCAGCTTCCACCAAGGGTATTATATCAAAAAAATGTTTCCTAAGAAACTTGCCAGACGAACCATGTAGTCAAGATTGGGAGACAAGTCCAGCGTAGGATGGGAACGGGAAGACGAAATATAAATTTTACTCCCCATCCCACCCCCCACGACCTACCCCATCCACATAGTTAAAAGTCTCGATCGTGCACTTTGCGATACAGTGTAAGTATGTAAGAAAGGACTAGAACTCTATTTAAAAGTATCCAACAGTTTTTAAACAATATAAGTAAGACCTTATCTATATACAGTATAATTAGAAATGGGGATATCTTATATAATAGACATCTGCTTAATATACATTAGTGAGTTATTGACACGAGTGTCATTCACTAGTGGTAAGTAAAAGTAGATAAACACTAATTATATACGTAAATATATAATCAGGAACTACAAAGGGGGTAAGCCTATTCGTAAAACTATGAATAAACAATTACTACCTTCTATATGTATAAGTACTATAATTCTCTTTCTGAATCAAAGATAATAGACTTACTAAATATTTGACACGTTCTCTCCACGAGATTTTAATTTTGAATTGTTTCTCCCGCTGTTTTATTATGGGTATTTAGCTAACAAATGCATGGAAAGATGCAGAACATTTTGACAGATGTTTGGGTTTTTTTATTGCGTAACTTATAGGCTAACGTTTTTAGATATGAAATGGGGTTAACGTTATGTTTTTAGAAAATGTCATTCGATCAACAGATGGCATTATTTTATTTAACAGAAAAAGGTTTTGTTATGTAAGTAATGAGGATCTTGATTTTGTAGCTATAAGGCCTTTTATATGAATCTTATTTCGTGCAGCATGGTTGTGCGTGTACATTGATTCTTTTGTATTTTCCACCCAAACTTTTGGATGGCTGGAGAAATATCGATTGTCGACTTAAAATACATCTCTAGTCTGGTTAATCGGGAGTTTATTGAAGGTCAGCTTTTATGACGTACACGTGGGCTTCCCCAATTCCACAGTTCCGGTACGATTCAACATGGCTGAAGAAAGCAACAAAATTTCTGAAGTCACGAAAGAGATCTTAGCCCCAGATGAAGAGCCCCGGGAAAATCTTGTTTCAACGGCCGTAAAGTTTCTTCAAAACCCCAAAGTTCAATCTAGCTCACTTACTCACAAAAAGGCATTCTTAGAAAAGAAAGGGTTGACAAAGCAAGAAATAGATTTGGCCATAGACAGATCAGGAATATCGAAAACTGAAAGTAGAGTAGGGTTACAGTCTCCCCCATTACAGCAATCGGCACATCCAGCTAATAATATAGGTTAGATTTGTTATTGTATCACACTTTAGCTAATATTGACATTTTTTTTGCATACTAATAATTATTTCAAAGGACATAACGATCTCTGATTTATCTAAAACATTGAATTGGTGTTTTTATTTGATTAGGGTAGGGTAGGGAGCGGAAAACATGAATATAATTAAATTTTTTCTCTCTGCGTCTAAAGTACAACACAAAATTGGTTTTATCATAACATCGGCTTAATCAGTGCATGTAAAATTTTCAACAAAGACAGATTATTCTGTCAAGTCTCAAGAAACAGATCGCATAGACTCTAATGACATTGACAATTTTAGTTTTGACTTTTGACCTAATTCAAATTGGTATACCAGTTATTTTAAGTGAATATTGCTAAGCCTGTAAATAAAGTAACTGTCATAGTCAATGTCAGGCATAAATTAAGGCAAAATCCATTATATACGTGTTTGGCACATTTGCGTGCATGTCAAAGAACCTGAGACTGATGGAATTGTAGGCAGGAACGCATCTGTCTGGATAAAATTTCCCTCATGGTACACTGTATTAGTCAGGTTGGTGCAGAACAGTAGGATGTTAATTAAGCCACATTTCATTTCATTTCTCTTAATTTATTTTTCCTGTTTATTAGAAATTGGGGGGTTAGAGGGCCTAGTGGTTTAACGCGTGCGCATGAAATCATAAGGTTTGTTATTGATTCTAGTGGGGTGGTTTTGATTCCCCGCTTGTATGTGACAAGGGAGTCTGGTCACATGTCCAACTTTGTGGGTTTTATCCGGGTACATCAGTTTCCTCCCACTGCTTAAGATTCCTACACACAAGTGAATTATTGAAATAAAATTGAACCATATAGTCACAAATTAAGCTAGTTGGTGTCGAGTGGACGTTAAACCCTATTCTCTCTCTCCCATTATAAATTTCAGATAGAAAAGTTTGAAGGTTGAAAAGATGATGTAATTATTGAAGGAATTAATAAAACTTTACTACCAATACACACAATGGAAATAAACTCAAAAAAAATCTGTCATTTCTTTTTTAGTTCCATATAACCCTTCCCAGTATGAATTGTCAAGATGGGAGAAAGCGCGCGCCTGGACCTCATCTGCTTTGATTGTAGCTGCTGTAGCTTATGCTGGATACCATTTCTACAGAACGTACATCAAGCCATTAATATTTGGTCAGATATCCTCCGAAAACAGACTGGAAAGACTGGAAAAACAAATTCAGGTTCGTATTATTATACTTCTGTTTTCTAATTAATCAGATACAATTTTAAATTGTCATTGAGTGGCGTGATTTCTATATGATACATACATGTGATGAGTCAGGTCACATTCCAAACCTTGTGGGTTTTCTCCTGGTTTCAGGACTAACATAACATATGGTACAATTTTATTTCAATAATTTGCATGTGCATTGGGGTCTTTGGCAGTAGAAGGAAACCAGAGGACCTGGAGAAAACCCACGAGGTTGGACAGGTGACCCTACTCCTTGCAACAGTTGACTCAATGATAGACCTTATGATAAAATGCGCACATGCTAACCATTCCACCATCCAACCCCCCACCCCCACCCCCCCGTCCTGAAATGACCTACTTTAATAAAAATGTATTTTTGAATAAATATTTTAAGTTAATAACATTGCTTGAGCTTCTTTGAATTTTCAAGTGCATCTTGAATTTGTAAGTTATATTATGTTGTGATGCTTTCTTATATTTTCATTTTATTATTTTTTACTTTCAATTTTGTTATTTTTTTTTTATTTTAGGAGATACAAACAGAAACAATTGAAAGCACAAAACAAATACAAGAAAGTTTAAAAACGATACAAACTGTATTAACACAACAACAGATTGCTAACTCCGAACGTACATTGTTAAAACAACACGATTTAAATGGTATTGGTGAAATTAAAACAGAAATTCAATCGTTAAAAGGCTTACTTTTAAACAGGTAACATAATATGATAATTTCTTTTCTTTTTATTGGGAGGGGAGGGGGGAGGGGGTAATAGCATTGTCAAGTGGTTTAATGTGTGCACTTTAGATCATAAGGTCAGTAATTAAGTGAAGTGAAATGGTTACGAGCCCAAGCTTGAACATGACAAGGAGAAGGGTGGCCTGTCCAACCTCATGGTTTTTCACTGGGTCCACTGGTTTGTATCAAGTGGACATTAAGCCCCATTTCTCTCTATCTCTCTTTATATTTAGTAAGAGATAGTCAAATGTAAAGATATTAGTTATCCCTCAAGCATTTGATTCGCTTGAAATTGTCTGACAATACTGCTCCCTATAGTGCCCCTATCTGTGAACTGTGAACTGTTTAAGGACCATGCACTAGTTGTCTGATGCCGGTAGTTTGAGTCATTCTAAAGAGCAGTAGTTTTGAGCCGTTTTGAACATGAACTACAAAATTACAATGCCAAAAGGAAAATTATAGTTTTTGTGGAAGATTTTGTGCAAACATCTAAGTTTTAAAAAAAGGCTTTTTATTTCTTATTTATTCTTCATTGGTTGGATTGGTGCAGAAAAGTAGGACATTAAACCCCATTTCATTTTATTTTATTTCCCTATTTTCAGACGTCAGTTTGCTCCGGTTCCTAGTGTTTCTCCTGTCTTACCATCCTGGCAACTTCCTGCAAGTTCTTCTTCAACTTCACAAACACAGGATGACCAAAAAGATGACGATTCTAGTCGAACGGATTTATCTAATGATAATGATAAGATTGAAACAATCCAAAATTCTACGAGTCAAACAGACTTATCTTCCCCTGTGGATGATCCATCCGTTTTGAATTCTGATGAAAAAAATGAAACTAAAGAAACGATTAAATCCGTTGATTTAGAAAATATAGAATCAAAATTATTAAATGGTGATTCTGAAACCAAAGATTTAAACAATAGTGAAATAGTCGAACCTGTTATTCAGGTGGCTTAAGATAAGCATTTTTATACACCCACATTTGCATTTGGACATACATTGTGGTCGCCCCTGTCCGTCCGCCTGGATGTCCGTCCGTCTGTCCATCCACAATTTGTTTGTGGACACTCTACAGGTCACAATTTTTATCCGATTTTGACGAAACTTGAAATATAGGTTTATCTCCAAAAGTCTCGGTTCCTGTTGATATTGTCATGTATCACAAACTTTTTCAGCTTGTTCTCTATCCATCTCTTGCAAAATGCAGGTGTATCTTGCATGACAAGCGCTGATGTATTTTTAAAGTCGTTGATACTGATCAAGAATTTTTCAGACAATATCTATCTTATTTTTCAATGGCTTAATCCATGCTAAAATGTATTCAAATCGAATATGTAATATTTAATTCAGAAAAAAAATAATAAATGGTAGATGTTCTCCCTGTTTGGATTCAATCAGACTAAAAAGAGGCCCATCAAAAGATTTTACCCAACACTTAGGGTGGTGCTAGTTTGTTTATATCATCTGCAAAGGGATGTCAAATGATTCATTTTATAAATACTGAAAGGAATTGGACCCTTTTTAGACTGATATTTCTTGTAGAGATTCAAATTTGACAATGTTGTAGTTTGCAATTTAATTAAACATGCATTATGCAAGAGCTAAATCTGCCAATTTCTTTAGGCCTGAAATGTTATCTAAATTATTAATTAGACATTAATTAACTTATCCAGACTGTAACCAACTCCCGATGTCATCGCTAGCCTGTGGTATTTAGTGGATTTGAATACATTTTGTGATGGATAATTTAACATAAAAATTAACTTATCCAGACCATAATCAGCTCAGCCTGTGATATTAAGTAGATTTGAATACATTTTGTGATGGATAAATTAACATAAAAATGGATAATCTAGACTTTGTTTATTATCGTGCCAATATTAATAATAACGATTGAGGTTGGCCTAAAATTGAATCGCTAATATCTCGGTTCAGAGTGAATCAGTTTGACTGAAATTTTCAGCAGATTCTGTTTTCATTATCTATATTTTAACTGTTATAGCGAAAACTGTCAGCTCTTTATCTTATCTTACCTAATGCTGCTTTAATTCAAAATGTTTGAAATTAAACTTGAATGATAGAAATTTTTGAAAAGGAAATTATGTTAATTATTACCAAATTATTATTTTATTTAAGGGCTAATTGGAATGAAAATTGTTAATATGTATGTATCTACTGGTATTTGTGGATTTGAAATAATTGAGTGAATGCCAGATGATAGATTAAATATAAAACCTTTTTTTTGGCTATGATTTCAGATCTTAATTGCTACCTGTATATTCTAGACCTGAGTTGTTATTAATACCTGTAAATTCCAGGTCTGAGTTTCTATACCTACCTGTATAATCACAGCCTGATTTGCTATAGATACCTGTATAGACCCAGTCTGAGTTGCTATAGAAACCTGTATAGACCCAGTCTGAGTTGCTATAGATACCTGTATATACCGGGTCTAGCTTGCTGTATATACCGGGTCTAGCTTGCTGTATATACCGGGTTTGGTTTGCTATAGATACCTATATATACCAGATCTGGGTTGTTATAGATACCTGTTTATACCAGGTCTTGGTAGCTACCCTGTATATACCAGATCTGGGTTGCTATAGATACCTGTATATACCAGGACTGGAATGCTATAGATACCTATATATACCAGGTCTGGGTAGCTATAGGTATCTGTATATATACCGGGTCTGGGTTGCTATAGATTTCTGTATGTACTGGGTCTGGGATGCTATTGACACCTGTATATAACAGGTCTAGGTTGCAATAGAATATAGATAAATGTATATACCCGGTCTGATGAGTATATCAAGCATTGATTTATTTTCTTGTATGGATGATTTATTAATTATTTAAAATGATGTTATTTAAAGAGTAAATGTTGAGAAAATGATAAATTTTATAATAAAAATGAATGGAATTGATAGTATTAATTGTTACTGTTTCATGTAGAAATTCTTTGGTTTCCAGACTGTCATACTCCTTTACATGGTTACCAGGTGCCCTTTGAGTGCCTGATAGTGAAAACTTGCTTTTGTCCTGTCTGTGGTGTAGAAATGACAGTATATTCAAAATACAGAGGACGTCATGTAATTCCATGTGGCAGAGTTGGCAATACAGGCGGTACATGGGGGGCACGGTGATTCAGTGAGTAAGACATTGTCTCGCTACCCTGAATCCCGTGTTCGATCCCTGCAGTGGCTGAGTGAGTTCATCGGGATTTCCCAGCATGGTTCCTCCTTGTCAGCGGTGCAGGACCGAGGGCTTGGCAAGGGACAATGTATAGTCATTTGGATGGGATGAAAAACTGAGGTCATGTGTACACATTGGCGTGTACGTAAAAGATCCCTTGGCTGATGGAATTCGATATAAGAGTAGGTAGTGGCACTGTCTGGGCAACATTTCCCTCATAGCAAACTCTTTGGCGCATGCCATCTTCATTAGCTCAGTAGGAGCAGAACAGTAGGCTGTTAAACTGCCATTTCATTTCACTTCATTTACAGGCAATACAATTGAGCTGTCTTGCCTTTACATATTATTCCTTTGTATTTTCTACACATCCCTCAAAACTTTATAGAAGCAATATTTTTATTAATTTATATTAAAAAACCCCAATCACACACTTTTTTTGAATGCAGTTAAAACATGCTATACTCGTCGCTTCTTTCATACTAACTCAGGCTGCCTGTCTACGGTTAGCTCCGCTTGAGAACATGCACTAAACTAGTTGACCGATATTTTAAGTCGTAAATCGACGATTTTAGTAGGTATACTTCGAGAATTTTGAGAAATATTTATTACGCATCTATTCAATAAAAGTGAAAAGGTTTATTTGTTCTTTATGTGTATGGCTGGTGTGAAGCGGAGTAGAACCGCATTGCAGACTAGTACACTACTTTTTGGATATGGCGGCAATTCAGTGCAGAGATCTATTCTCGAAGTATGAAGTAGATGCACCGCTGTGTGCAGAATGCGTTTTAACTAATTGCATGTTCTGGATGACCAGTGTGTCCGTGGGAATTCGTGACTAATTTATATTGTCTGGGTTGTTTTTTTTGTGCCAGTTTGCATAGAATTGGCAAGTTGTTAACAAACAACTAGAAATTGTATTAAAGGTCGTTTGACCTTTAGTATCCGCTTTATTAGACTTCTCTTAACTTCGTGACATTTTCAAAGTCAATCAAAATATTTGTGGCGAAGCAGTGTGGTTTGTTTAGTAGATATATTCTCCAGCCCCATTGCCTGTTTTAAAACACAATATTTTAAAAGTAAAGAATACCTTTAAAGGTGACAGGTTGATACTATGGTGTAACATATAGTATTATACCTATATAGAATATAAATAACGTCTATACATGTATACCTATTAACTGACAGGTGCTCGTTACAGGGGAACCCCCACCATTCACTTGTCACACCATCCCTTTCGTATAATGACATAATATATACGTAAGCATTGTGTAATCGACACTATAGGGTAACCCCCTAATGTAAAGAGAAAAACTGTTATTGTGTGATAATAGGTTTTTCATTTGCATAAAACTGATCCTTTTCGTGATAAGTCGGGTTTGTTGGTTATCCAGGTAGTAAAATACTAAACCAATATAAAAATATTACTGGCAATGTTTCACTTTTTAAAACTAAGCTGATCATGCTCTGAACTCAAATTGAAATGGGGTTTAACGTCCTATATTCCTACAAGAATCGGGTATTTGAATATCGATATACGTCATACAGTGTGCTTTTCGAAACCCAACTGTCCTGTGTGCCTTTATGTGTCCGCCAATGTGTTTCACACATTTTTTAAACACACAACTCAAGGTTCTGACGGGACCTCGGTTTTTCACCCCAACCGAATGATTAGACACTGTTCTCTGTCATGCCCTCTGCCCAACACCACTGACAAGGGGAATAAACCACACTTACAAATCCTACCAAAATTGGGATCGAACCCAGGGCCTCCAATAACAATAAAATTAAAATACAGAGAAGTTAGAATGGAGATTCTAGTATTGTTTAACAATGGTGTCTTTTGTTTTTATTATTTAACAATGGCGACCATGTAAGATAAAAGAGTTTTCTGATGAACAATAGTAATTAACTAATGAAGCACCTCTCTTGTCTCGTCATTTATTCATCTCTTTCATCAAACTAGTCTCGACTTTATAAAAACACCGAGTTTCTAATTCTACTAATATTTACAACACGGGTTAACATTCTGTGAATTGTTTTTCATGTATTTGGTGAGTTAGTGAAGCTGGTTTGTTTTTGTTATAAAACAATGTAATGTTTCCCTTTGGCCAAACTAGCCCTTTAATGAAAAACACGATGTATTTAAGGCCGCTTCTGTTTACACCAGGAGGCGGATTAAAAACTAACGAGACAATACAAATGGTGGATATATAGACCTGATATAGCGTATACGTATCAGACATGTTTTTCTTATAAAACAATCGAAAACACTAACATGGTGCCAGGCGAAAGATGCACTGAGTCGGTGGAGACATAATTCAAAAGGTGTAATCCCAATTGTGACAGCATTCTAGGCCAGATTAACCTTGTGGGGAGCCCGGAACAAGTCAGTAGGGATTGGGGCCGAATTAAGAAAACAAACGTAGGGGCCAGTGCGGCGCAAAGTCAAATCTCAAGAAAAGTTTGAAATATAGATTCGATTAGGTGTATTCTTGGGTTATATAGTATGGGCGAGTAACACATGCAACTTTTGATCTTGTACTCAACTCCCATGAATATGGGATCTGTATTTGTATTAGTGAAATGTACTACCCTAGACTGCCCCCCCCCCCCACGATCCCTGGATATTTTCTCCTCGTTTCTCAACGTGTTAAATTTTGACTAGATAACAATATGTGTTATATACACTTTGTGTATACTGTGTTTTATATGTTATATGGTTTTTGAATATTATATACACTGGCTTTTATATATATTATATACATGTTTTATATAATATATACATTTGTTTTATAAATTATATACATTTGTTTCATATATGATATACTCCTTTTTGTATATTTATACACTTGTTTTGTATATATTATATACACTTGTTGTATATATTATATACACTTGTTGAATATATTATATACACTTGTTTTATATATTCATACACCCTTTTTATATATTCATACACTTGTTTTATATATGTATACATTTGTTTTATATAATATATACATTTTTTCATATATTCATCCACTTGTTTTATATATTCATACACTTGTTTTATATATTCATACACTTGTTTTATATATTATCTTCATTTGTTGTATATATTTATACACACCTGTTTTATTAACATACATGTATATGAATTCATGTGTTCTGTAGAATTAAGTGGATAAAAGAATACACGCTTCTTTAATCAAACTGGGTTATTACGTCATCCATCCTATCTTAGATACATTGCCATAATGAAGGCCATGTTTTCCGTTGGACTATCTTGTTCTACCATTTAATATTTCCCGGATGTATGGAATATCGTATACAAGTGTACATTTTAATTACAACCACGTACGTGTTTTGAGTGTCGAAGTTTGTTTTTGATTTTCTTTTGAAACAACTCAAAAACGGGCAGTAAAGATGATGGTTTTCAGCCAAGAAGGTTGTCTGTGCCGGATAAAGGCGTTTGATATTGGGACATTTAATTCTGATAATAATGTAACAAAATACGTAAATGCATTGATTAAACCCTGTAAACAGTCGGGGGGGGGGGGGTGATGGTTAGCACGTTTCGATTCCCCGGTTGTACGTGGCATCCTCCAGGTCCTCCGCTTTCCTCCTTCTGCTAAAGACCCCTGCGCGCAAGCGAATTATTGCAATAAAATTAAACCATATGTTAGTCCCGAAATGACATAGTTTGTGTCGAGTGGACGTTAAACCCCAACTCTCTCTCTCTCTCTCTCTCTCTCTCTCTCTCTCACTCTCTCTCTAAACAGTAGTGTAAAATTATAGGTTTATGATCAATATTTTCTTCTTGGACTGTAGATTTTGAAGTTGAGAGGATAAAATCACAGTTATTGATAATTATTTCATTTTCACAAAAACATCGCTAAAATTAAAAGACGCCAAGTTGTTAGTAATCATTTTGATGGAAGTACCCCTGTTTGATATTATATTCAGGAGCTTAATTCAAGTTTATCTCGGCTCTGTTGCACCTCGCTATCACTGGTTAATGTTTACACATGACAATGAATAATGACCTATAACCCCAAGGGTCTTGTATGTGTTTACCTTAAGGTTAAGACTTCTGAATTGGGCTTCCATTGGGTCATTAATAAACAATAAGCAATACTTAAATACAAACAAATTAATCCGTAGAGTGCCCTCAAGACATTGCAACCCCTTTATATCGCTAAGTCAAAGACTACCAAGTAATTGCTCATTAGTTTAAATGAGGGAGAGAGAGAGAAAGAGAGAGAGAGAGAGATATTCGGGACTAACATATATTATTACAACGCCATTTCAATAAGAGGGTTGGGTGGTCTATTGAAATCATAAGGTCTGTCATTGAGTCAAGTGGCGTGGTTTGGATTCACTGCTTGTACGTGACAAGGTTTGGGGTTGCCTGTCCAACCTCGCGGGTTTTCTCCGAGTCCTCCGGTTTCCTCCCACTTCTAAAGACCCCCTACGCGAAAGTAAATTATTGAAGTAAAATTGAACCATAAGTTAGTCCCGAAATGAACGAGCTTGTGTCGAGTGGACGTTAAACCCCATTTCTCTCTCTCATTTCAATACTTCGCTTGTGATCGAAACCACGACAATTGACCCAATGACAGACAGATATTCCTTTTATAGATTCAGCTTTCAGAATATTGTAGTCTGCATTGGCTCAAAATCCCTCAAATGATCATCACATTCAGGATTAGTTTTAGTTTCCCTATTAGTACTTGCCCAGGAACGGTTTCCGTGTTAATCACTCTTTCACAGCCAAGCTTTGTATTTTCCTGTTCAGATCCTTAAGGAAGGTTTGGTTACCATTTCTTAATCAAGTAAATTTGTCAGTACAGCTCAGTACATGATCATAACTTGATACCAATTGGCCAAAATGCTGAAATTTAATCTTCATATAATAAATCACTGGTAGACAGACTTACATTCAAATGCAACATTTATGTACCATATTTAATACCACAAAACCTTCTTTATGAAAGTAGCTCCATATTTGATCACTCCTAAATTTTCTAGATACAGCAACTAAAATTTGTCACGAAAAAGTACCGCATCAAAGGAGACTGTTTAATTAAAGATCTTCATTTGGCCCGAAGAGGATGTCGAAGCAACGCCGAATGTTTAATTAAAGATGTTCAATTGACATTAACATGTTTTATTGTTGGTTTAATTAAACATCTTGGGTATCTTTTGTACTGACTTTAATCACTGAGTAATGAACATTTATAGAAATTATGTCACCTACAAGATTCTACATTATAGTCACCATCTTGTTGTTTTGTTGTTCTTTATTGTTCTGTATAATCTGATCAGATGGAAGAACAATACAAGTTAAATTTTTCTTGTTTAATAGAAGATGTTTTTGTGTGTAGTTGTATTGTTAGTTAATACATTTACTGATACAATATACCTACAAAACAAATACAATTTAACACATTACATCTACCTGTACAATAGATCTACAATCTATATAACAAATAAAATTAAATAAGTTTTACCTGTACTGAAAGGTTTCTATTATCTTATAGAATTAAATTCGTCAAATTTTAACACGTTTTAGATTTGACTCGTTGATTTTATATAATCAATACAATTAACCTTTAATTAAATAGAAGGTTTTACATTTCACACCTTAAATATTTCTTCATCTGAGGCCTGTTTCACGAAATTTTAACTAAAGATAAAATACAAATTTTAGTAGATACTTCAATTTTGATTGGCTAAGCACTAAAATCTGTGTTATATTATCCAATCAAATTACTAAAATTTGGATTTTATCTTAGTTAAAATTTTGTGAAACAGGCTCCAGAATTGTAAAGATTTGGATACTCTGTGACAATAATTAAAACCATGTTGCAACATACAACTTGATATGTTCAGCATTAGAAAAAAGGCGATATCTAATGCGAGAGGCTGAATTTATATTTATTCAGGTTTTAACAGCAGTGTCAGAATTCAAAGAAGAGCTTTGATATAATGAACTTTAAGGCCCCACCTTTACCACATGTAGATACACCGGGAGTATGTATTGATCAACTACTGCTCTGAGAGTATATTGATCAATATACTGCTCTGAGAGTATATTATATTGATCAACTACTGCTCTGGGAGTATATATTGATCAATGTACTGCGCTGGGAGTATATATTGATCAATGTACAGCACCGAGAGTATGTATTGATCAATGTACAGCACTGAGAGTATATAATAATCATTTACATTGATTATTTATCGATTTACCTTTATGTAACTATATGTATTAATGTCTTAAAACTTTTGTATACATGTAGATGGTGACACGTTAATAAAATATATTTTATCATATCTGTATTGAGAGAGAGAAATGGGGTTTAACGTCCACTCGACACAAACTAGATCATTTCGGGACGGTTTAATTTTATTTTCAATAATACGCTAGCGCGTAGGGGTCTTTAGCAGTGGGAGGAAACCGGGGACCGGGAGAAAACCCACGAGGTTGGACAGGCGACCCTACCCCTTGTCACGTACAACCGGGGAATCGAAACTACGTCAGTTGACTCAATGACAGACCTTATGATACAGCGCGAACGTGCTAACCATTCGGCTATCCACCCACAGGAAACACTAAGAAAGTTGGATTCTCTTTTATAGAAAATAATTACTAAATCAATATGTTGTTTGCATAAAACTTTCATTTGTACAAATATACATATTAAGCCCAGTCCGTCAGTCGGTTGAATCATTTATATTAAACATACATTATGCAAGAGCTAAATCTGCCATTACAGGTCTTTCGTTAGGGAGAGAGAGAGAAATGGGGTTTAACGTCCACTCGACACAAACTAGGTCATTTCGGGAGCAACATATGGTTTTAATTTTATTTCAATAATTCGTTTGCGCGCAGGGGTCTTTAGCGGTGGGAGGAAAGCGGAGGACCCGGAGAAAACCCACGAGGTTGGATCTTTCGTTAGGCCTGAAATGTTATATAATCTATTAATTAGACATTTATCAACACGAAAAGACCTTAATCAACTCTCGCTGTCACCTTATGTGTCAGATTGTCATTGGATTTGAATTCGATTTGCTGCTCAACGCCCATTGCTGATTAAATAAAAAAAAATATCTCGGATCAGAGTGGATCAATTTGACTGGAATTTTCAGCATATTCCCATTACATTATCGAGTTTTTAACTATTATAGTGAGAACTTCCAGCTCTTTATCTGATCTTCCATAAATGTATCTTTAATATCTGATATTGACAGGATACATATTGAATAGTTTTTACGTCCGTTTATTTGTTTTTCTAGTCACGTGGTCATTAACTGAACACCACATTGACACATATTATTTAACCCAGTACGGTACGTCGTGACAAATAATGCCACGGTCGCTGTCGAAATAGCTTTTCTTATTACAAACAAAAGGGGTTAACATAGAAATTATATTTATATATACGTACGTATAGATAACCTCTGTACTTATAGGGTTGTGCAATAGTTTTTGATGTAATAAGTTTTATACATGTCATCAGAAGTCGGTATATAAATATAAACGGGGTGTTTTAACGAACAGTGAATATTTGGGGTCAGGGAAATGGCTTGTTTTGGGTGTGAAACTCTTCTGTGGATTGTTGCTATAGTGATTTTACTTGGTGCAGCATTTTATATGTAAGTCTAATAAATCTATTTATAACCTTTTAGTTTAGCGTTGGGTCCCCACTCTGATGACATAAAACATGTCGACTTATAGTTGTAATTAAGATGTCTTCCATTATGATAACTAGTGTAAGTAAACAATTGAATTGAGTTGTGTATTGTCATTATATTAAATTTCATCCTCATATATACTTATTACTATTATGCGTTTTTAAACTTTTCTCATTGCGAAATCCCCTGTCATGCAATATCTAAACCGGTAAATCATATGATACAGAGAAATATAATACAGAATTATTTGAATAGGTATTGACTGGGACGACTGATAAGAGTGTTAGAGGGGGTGGGGGGGAGAGAGGGGACCCGGAGGTTGGACAGGCGACCCTACTCCTTGTACGTAAAACCGGGAAATCGATAAGATAGTATAAGATAAATTGTATTGCATAAAAACGCCCACGGGGAGCATCGTAACCCAAATAGTACCACTAACAAGCACATCGAGTACGATTGACATGAAACTTTGCATGCTTGTTCTTTGGACAATTGCGCATCGATTGGCTGACTTTGGTTCAAAGATGGCCGCGATGATAACGTGACCGTAATGACCGGATCATGGTTCACATTACCCTCTTACCTTTTGTTTCTGTGAATTAATTTTGGGTTTTCCTGGCTTCACCACTGTGAGTTTCCCAACCCCTATATTCCCAACGGTGTATGGCATATATCCTCAGTAATATAGATCCACGTGGCCATTCCATATAAAAATTTTTAATTTTCAATATCAGACATGAATGGGTGAATTTAATTGGAATATAATTCTATAAAACCTTTAAAACCACGTGAACCCGTGCCTTGGGCCCCAGTGTCATTAATATACAATGATAACTGAAAATGGAGAGATTTCAAAGTCATACAAACTGAATCACGTAGACATATTACCTTATCAATGACTATATATATATATAGACATAATTTATAGACACATAACGTACTGTGACATACAATCTACACATTGAATAACTACACCGAAATTATACATTAAGATAGTCGCAACTTGTAAATTGTAACACCCACTCGGCACAAACTAGGTCATTTCGGGAGCAACATGTAGATTTTATTCAATACTTCGTTTGCGTTCGACCCTATATAATAACAATTTTTCTTGTGTCCCAAACATACTTTATATAGACTCATACCCCGAAAATCATTATGTTGTGTTGTATTGTATTGTTGTATATTGTATTGTATTATGTTGTATTGTATTATTGTATTGTATTATGTTGTATTGTATTATGTTGTGGGGGATCACGTGGCTAAGTGGGTAAGACGCTGGCTCGCTAGCCTGGAGGTCGGGTGTTCGATCCCTGCGTTGGCCGAGAAAGTTCATCCAAATTTTCCGGCGTGGTTCCCCCTTGTCAGTGATGCAGGACGGAGGGCCCCGATAAGGACAGCTGTCTAGTCCTTCGGATGAGACGAAAAACCGAGATCCCGTGTATTCATTGGAATGCACGTAAAAGATCCCTTGGCAGTTTGAATTCGATATAAGAGTAGGCGATAGTGCCGCTGCCCGGGCAAAATTTCCCTCATAGCACACTGTATGGCGTATGCCCGTCTTCATTAGCCCTGCATAGGAGCAGAACAGTAGGACGTTAAACCCCATTTCATTTCATTTCTCTGTATTATGTTGTATTGTATTGTATTGTATTGTATTGTTGAATTTTATTGTATTGTATTGTATTGTATTGTATTGTACTGTATACCCCGAAATTTATAGTATACTATTCAAAAAAAGTAGGGATATTTGATTTTTAAGTGTTATTAAAGTCACCTAATGAAACTGACGAAGAAACAAATGACAAAATGAAATGAAGTTCACATTCATCGATTTATTCCAAATGATCGTTAGACTAAGTAAGGCACAGACTGACCATTATAAGGGTAAAATGATACCCGGGGTCAAACAGCAAAGTTACCACAGCATCACAACCAAGTCAGTAACGGGTAAATCCTCCTCTGTTTGCCAAACAAGCATTGATCCGACGTGGCATACTCCTAATGAGACGTCTAAGGTCATTTTGGTCCAGATTGTCCCATTCCTGTTGCAACGCAGCAGCAAGTTCTTGGACATTGGCAGGACGTTGTTGACGTTGACGTAACCTCTGTCCAAGCATGTCCCAGACATGCTCGATGGGGGAGAGGTCGGGACTCAGTGCTGGTGATGTTCTGTTGTTGGAGGTAACCTGTAACGATCCTGGCCCTGTGACATCTGCGTTGTCATCCTGGAAGATGAAACGGCGGCCATGACGTCGTGCGAACGGCACTACATGGACTGCCAAGATGTTGTCCCGGTAGTACTGGCCTGTAACACGCCCTGCAACAACATGTAAAGCCGTTCTTCCAGCAACAGTGATGCCTCCCCACACCATAACAGAACCACCCCCAAATCGATCATGTCTGATGACGTTAACGTCTTGGAAGCGCTCGTTTCGACGACGCCACACCCTCCTACGTCTGTCCAAAAAATCAACAGTGAACCTTGACTCATCTGAAAACATCACATTGCTCCAGCGTCGATTATCCCAGTGTTGACGATCCCTACACCAACGACGTCTTGCCTGAATGTGATGATCTCTCAAACAAGGGATCACGCGAGGACGTCGGGCGCGAAGGTGACCCCTATGCAGTCGATTCCGAATCGTCTGGCCACTCACTCTCACACCAGTGTCTGTTTGAAGACGAGCGCTGATCTGATTTGCTGTGATGACACGATTTCTCAAGGCCAAGGTACGGATAAATCGATCCTGGGCTTGAGTTGTCGCCCTTGGTCGACCTGAGCGTGGTCTGTCCTGTACAGATTGTGTATCACGGTATCTGGACCATAGCATGCTTATGACAGACTGAGAAACATTCATCGTCCGCGCCACAACCGCCTGTGTTGTGCCGATCTGTAGCATGCCAAGGGCACGTAACCTTTCATTTTGGGTAAGCCGACGCATATCAAAATTTGTTTTCTGGTCACTAAAACAATTAAACTGATGTTTCCACCCTGGAATTCAATGCCACAATGACTGTAACATTCAAAGTCAGAGTCGTGCAAATCTTGGGTTGGACCCCCATGATGATCCCAAGCATCACCTGCATTCCATGCGGTAGCTATTGGTGCGTTTGGGCGTCACATGTAACTGGAAATGTTTCTTCTGTTAGGTTCTATAGTGACTTTTTTCGTAGTCATTTGCATATTTTAGTATTATGCCCCCAAAATCAAATATCCCCTACTTTTTTTGAATAGTATATTTTATCCCTTTAGTTATATAACATGGACTCACAGTATTTTCAAGAATGCCGGAATCCCAGGACCAGTACCAGGTTTACTAGGAGTGGTTTTAGAGTACAGTAAAAGAGTAAGATTCATATTTTCCTATATTAAATATAGTAAATAGATGAACTGAGGTTTCATGTCCCACGTTTTTGTACCATCTTGGCTGATATAAATGCGTGCCGTTCCCGCTTCATCAAATACCAACCGTCAAAGTTTTTATTCCCATGCACGCCAACTATAGTACACGGGTGAACCTTGATTTTTATTCCATCTAAACGACTACACACGCCCTTCCCTGCTAAGTCGTCCGTCCTGTAACACTGATAAAGGGAAACAAGATTAAAACATCTCGACACGACCTATAGTTATTATATTTTATTTTTATTTCAATGTATTGGCGATATTGATACATTTATCATATTATATTGATATAGTTATTATATATATCATTATTTATTTACAGTGTATGGACGATATTGATATAGTCATTATATGATATTATATTATTATTTAGTTATTTCCCATTTCTGAGCGATATAGTCATTATATATACATGTATTATTATTTATTTACAGAGTTTGGGCGATATTGATATAGTTTTTATATTATATTATTATTTTTTATTTAGAGTATGGGCAATATTGATATAGAGCTTCATAAGAAATATGGAAAAGTTATAGGGTAGGATTTTCTGAAATAATTTATTAATTAAAACCGAACCCTTTGCCCTAATGCTCCATGAACGCTGTTCTCCTTGTACATATGAGTCGTAGTTCTAGATGTTTCTAATATTCTACCATGTGGCTCCCTGGAAGTAAACAACTGAAGAGAACCAGTGACCTGTGCTGTGAGCACTGTAGCGTCACGTCCGGAAATTCAACCGCCAGGGTGAAAGTTATGATATTGTTTCTAGATAGACTGATTATTTTTTTTATAAATACGCCCACATTTTCATAACTTCCTGAATTATGGCCCCTGATTGTACTAAAAATCGCGTTTTTTGGCTTGTGGACCCTATAGAGGTCATAACTTTTATCCGATTTAAAAAAACAACCGTATCATTATATCACCATTACATCCTAAGGGGGGCTGAGTTCGAATTTCGTGAAAATCGGCCCCAAACTGACAGACAAAATGGCCGCCCTTCGTTCTCAAATAGCGTAAAAATATGGTATATCAAGTTTGTGGACCCTATAGAGGTCACAATTTTTATCCGATTTTGTTGAAACTTGAAATGTAAGTTTATAACCCAAAGATCTCGGTTCCTTTCGATATTGCGCATATACGAATTGTAATTTTCTGAATTATGGCCCTTGATTGTAGGAAAAATCACTTTCTTTTTAGCTTGTTCTCTATCCATCTCTCCGGGTGGGCGTATCCTGCCTGGCAGCCGCTGGTTTTTATCCCGTTCATCATAATTTATGGAACCATAAGCTCTCTAAACGTTATGATCCCATTGACTTTAAGTTTATATGCAATATTTATGTTCATGCAACCAAGACATTTTCAACAATTTCCGTTAATTATTGTAATTATATGCATTTGTTAATTATTGTTATTAAATGCACTTGTATGCACACTCTAGCCCACATTTTCATGTGGAAGTATATTGTCGTCGCCCCTGTCCGTCCACAATTTGTTTGTGGACACTCCACAGGTCACAATTTTTATCCAATTTTGTCGTCGCCCCTGTCCGTCCACAATTTGTTTGTGGACACTCCACAGGTCACAATATTTTATCCAATTTTGACTAAACTTGAAATGTAGGTTGATCTCCAAAAGATCTCGGTTCCTTTCGGTATTGGCATGTATCGGACCGTAACTTCATGGATTATGACCTCTGATTGTACCAAATATCACTCCTTTAGCTTGTCGACATGAGTGTAGAGGTCACAATTATTATCCGATTTTGATGAAACTTGAAATGTATGTTTATAACCCAAAGCTCCCGATTCCTTTCGATATTGGAGCAAATAGGACTTAACTTATTATGACCCCTGATTGATTGTACAATAAAGAGCGTTTTTAGCCTGTTCTCTGTCCATCTCTTGCAAAATATGGGCGTATCTTGCATGGCAACCACTTGTTTATAATTTATTCAGTTTTTTTAAATAATTTATTCAGTTTTTGTATAATTTATTCAATTTGTATTTTAATTTATTCAGTTTTTTTTATATAATTTATTAAGGTTTTTTCACACCAGACAACCAATTTTATCAGTGGCCGATCCAGAAACGATTAAAGATATATGTGTTAAACATTTTAGCAAATTTGTTAACAGAGCAGTGAGTTATATTTGTTCATAAGTTAATGGGGTTTAACGTCCACTCGACACAAACATGGTCATTGCGAGACTAACATATGGTTCAATTTTATTTCAATAATTCGCTTGCGCTTAGGAATCTTTAGCAATGGGAGGAAACCGGAGGACCCAGAGAAAACCCAAGGGGTTGGACAGGCGACCCTACTCCTTGTCACGTAAAATCGGGAAATCAAAACCACGCCAGTTGACTCAATGACAGACCTTATGATACAGCGCTCACGTGCTAACCATTCGCGGTCCCACAGCCCCCCCCCCCCGAGGTAAGAACAACTGATAACATTTCTCATTTGAGGAGTTGCACGGCAAACAAGTCGTATAGGACCTTTTTTATTATAACTATTACAACATCTCAAGTAACATTGCCGACATTTAGTTTACAGTATTCTGGAACAACTGGTACCACTTCTCACTTTTCGTTAGTAACATTGTTGGCTACCTATGGCTCCGAAGTTATCTTCTGCTAAGTAACTTAATTAGCAGTTGCATGGGTGAGGGGGTTGATGGGGTGGAGGGGTGGGGGGGTCAACGAACGGTGGCACCCTAAAGAGTGGCATATTTATGCCTGATTGGGGGGGGGGGGGGGTCATTCCATGTTACGTGGACCAGTGCTTTTAAAGTGACCCCCTCACCTCAGAATATTTTGAAAAAAATATATGTTATAGTACACGCATATTTATGTAAAGCTGCAAAGTTATATAACTCTAGCATTAATATTGACTTTTGAATCGGGGTAACCATTGGCAAGTTTTCAAACTACTGTTGTATGACTCGATTTTGGTGTATCTTATTTTATTTTATATCGTCTAGATAAACAATAGTCTTGTAATTATGAAGTTTGTAAGAGAATATAATATAGATTAAGAACTCACTATCGAATTTTACAGAACAAATACCGTCAACTGTACATGGGGTCCCCTAAGTATCAAAAATTGATACTTGTGCAAAAAAAATATATCATTATTTCGATATTCTTAGCTATTTGCTCTTCCCATACTATTGGACTGAAACCAGTTCCATTGTAGTACTGATTATTAGATATTTGGTTCAGATTTCGATGTATTGTCATTGTGCGACGAAAGAGCCCATAGATTTTCACTGCTTTTCAGTAATTGCTTCTAGAGTTACCGTTCTTCATTAATTTCATATTTTGCCTTTTGAATTAAAACAGAATATATTGCCATTGGACAAGTATGAAAGGGGATTCCTGTCTTTGGCTCGCGGAGCAAAATGGAAGAGCTCAAGATCAATCTTGACACCAACTTTTAGTTCTGGTAAACTTAGAGAGGTAGGTTATTCTCCGAGTCTATTTTAACGGGCCTTCAGGCACGAACGTACCTCGGGATAAAAATCCGTGCTTTGAAAATCTGAAATCTGTGCTTTGGAAAAATGCTATAACATAGCTTTGTGAATCTGACAAGATTATGTTGGGAAACTTAGCTATCATTATGATCAACGACTACTTTCGATTTCTTTTTCCAGAATTTTGTAGTGTTGACCTAAAGCACGAAAGCAGAACACCTTCATGTGCAGGTGACAGTGAAGGTTCGTTTGCCTTTAGATCGACATTGGGTGTTTCTTTGGACTGTTAATGATACTGACATAAATACAAATATGTTAGTTCTGTTATATTTTGGTTATAAAAGTGTAATCGTGTTATCCGAAGTCAAATTCTGGAAATTTTCACGAAACCCCAAAACACTGGAATTCATATACTTCGCCAATAAAACCTTAAAATAGGCTCTGGTTATTCTTGTTGTTTTTAGCGGTCTTTCTCGGGTTGATGCCACTGCGTCCATTGGCGGTGCCAGGGCTTCCCATTTGAGGAAGAGGAGACTTCCCCCAGACTTTTTTTTTTCAAAAATTCCTGGCGAAATACTTGATTTTTAGTATGTCTTCGACAAGGAACACTATCAACAGAATTATCTGCATCTTAGCATCAGTCAGAAAAGAGGAAACATTCTCTCATTGACCATGGTTATGGTTAACTTTGGGGGTGGCGGTAATTTTTATTTTCTGACACTCTTCGATAGTACTTAATCTGACCTTGATATAAAATCTGTTTATGCTTTGTTTACAGATGATGCCATTGATGCACACTTGTACAGACAATCTACTTAAGAATTTGGAACAATATGCCGGCAGTGGGAAATCTGTTGACGTAAACAAGTAAGACATAAACTTCGTCTTCGAGAGCGGCGGCGATCCCACGGATAAAATATTCCGCTAAAACCAATCTGATTAAAATACAGATCTATATTTCGTTTCATTTTTTTATACTTTCGATGGACTACACTACATGAAGATCTGAAAAGTTATAGCCATAGGTCACGTCAGGGATCAAAAGACCGACTTATGACCCTATGACGTCAGACATTTGATTAACCAATCAACATTGATGTTACTAGTGGATTACCCACAGTTCCGTAACAGACCGTTTCATTGGCTTATCCCTGACACCATTCAGAACACGAGTTAAATAACAACTCTTCCAGATCCAAGTGTAGTAAAGACAAGTAAAACGAAATTTTGAACTATAAAAACGAAACGAAATAGGATCTGTGTTTTAACCAGATTGCGCTAAAACCATTATTGTCCGCTTATTGAGATAATGAATAGACCTTTCCCGTCTAAATTTATTAATTTATGAACGACGTGTAGTGTAAGCCTATACTCGTTCGACATTATATCCGTCCGTATGTCAATTGCTATTCGTCCGGCAAACGTGCACAGTATTATAACGCATATGTCATTTTTCTGACCTTCGCCATGGATAGTTTGCAAGTTAACAAGGACTTTTTCCTGCGTTCAAGCAAGTGAGGCCTATCAAAGAAAAAGTATTCACAATCACTGTTTAATATTAGCGACAGCAGGGTTAGGGTCATTGAATTCCAACATATAAAAAGAAAAACAAAAAAGAAGATTATAAGCAAAGGCTTAGTTAAGTCTGAAAAATGGCTCATACGCATGCGTCATAATACTGATAACCTGATAGACTGGATAACCTGCTCTATATGACGTCAGACTGGTTCCCAATGACGCCTATACTAACTATAGTCGTCATTGCTGATTCCTACGAATCCTTTCGTCACTGCGCTATTCTGACTCAATTGATTATCTATATGCAAGTCAGAAATGAAGTGACGTAGGAGCGAGTCTGACGTATCAGCGTCCTTGCCAGAGATAAAATTTTTAAATAGGGATAATTTATAAGTGACACCACAGAGCATGCGGTCCCATGTGACCTCATTGTTTACTATATAGGATTGTTTTTCTGTACATTCATTACGTTCTAGTGTGTTGACAAACGTTAGTTTTTGTCAATGAAAGTCGAAATACGGTTCTGATCTTATTAACGATATGGACACGCGGAGCCTGGTGAGAATTCCTGTAGTGAGGACGCCCATTCGACACACCGATCCGAATATTCAGGCAATTTTCGAAATAGCATAGATCCTAAAATATAACCGTCGTTTGCAGATTTATCGCTGCTTACACATTGGATGTCATCTGTAGTGTTGCATTTGGTATAGATGTTGACTCTCAGAACGAACCCGACAACCCATTGATCCAGGCCTGTATTAAAACCTTGAAATTGAAGCTGAACGATCCCATCATTATGGCTTGTGGTAAATATACATATATATCGATTCCTTGTTTCAATTGCGCTGGGTATGGAGCTAGCTCGATAACTAGGTGGTCAAGGTTCGATCCCAGAAAGTTGGCCGAGAAAGTTTCCCCATGTCAGTGGTGGAAGGGTGGGCGTGGCATGGAACAGTGTCTAGTCGTGAGGATGCGACAAAAAAAACCCCAACAAGGTTCTATGAAGGAATAGAGATGAGTGTTGGACGCAGCGCGGCTGTAATGGTAAAATGGCCCTCATAGCACGCTGCGTGGGTTATTTGTTACATCTATTTCTTTGGGCCACCAGCCACCTCCAGATTTCCTCAAATGTTACGAGATGTGAACAGGGCTAGCGCTATCTTCAATCCTAGTCCTAACCCTTACCGATACTTATATCTTAAAACCTGTTTTTATCTTTCAAACTAGCTTCCCGTTTTTATCTTTCAAGCTACCTTCCCGTTTTTAACTGGAGTATTAGAGTATTTAGATATTGGTTTTATGGCTACTGATCCTAAATCTGTTTTTACAAAACTTATTGATGATGTTGTCAAGGAGAGGAAAGAAAATCCAAGTGTAAGTACCTGTACACATTTATAGGGTTTTTCCATGTAGGATTGTGTCTAATTGTGTCTTCTTCTGGACAGCACGCGTGTCATCGGAATTAACCGATCATGACATCAACTTGATGTGATCGGATTCAGCTGCTGGAATTTGAATTGATCGGATTGGGCACGTTTTCGATTCAGTCGTAGCTCTACTTGACTGGGTCCAGATGCAACTTGACTTGATCAGATACAGCTGCAACTTGACTTGATAGGATTCAGCCACAACTTGACTTGATCATGACCGGAACTTGATTTTTCAGTCAGGCTTCCCCGTGTTAGTTGTGCAGGATGCGATTAAAGAACCCCTTAAGGTTGGAAATAGAAATACTATTACTGTTGACTTTATCGGATTCAGCTGCAACTTGACTTGGATCGGATTTAGCTGCAACTTTAATTGATCGGATTCAGCAGCAACTGACTTGATAGGATTCAACTGAAACCTGTCTTGATCGGATATAGCTGCAACTTTAATTAAGCGGATTCAACTGCAACCTGACCTAATCGGATTTAACTGCAACTTGAATTGATCGGGTTCAGCAGCAACTTGACTTGATAAGATCAAACGTAACCTGACTTGATCGGATTTATATGCAACTTGAATTGATCGGATTCAACTGCAACTTGACTATGTCGGATTCATCGGCAACTTGACTTGATCGGATTCAGTCGTAACTAGACTTCTTGATAGGGTTCATTCTTTTTTTTCAGAAACGGAAAGATTTCCTCCAGTTGTTAATTAATGCCAACGAAGAAAGCAAAAATAACGGAGATGACTCGGGTAAATATTTTGGTATATGGGGTAGTTCGATCTGTATTGCTTGTCAAAATACTGAAAATATATTGTGCAGTACAGTGTTCAAATAGTCTAAAGTCACCAAAAATAAAATCTGATCGTATTAATTCTAAACTATGCTAATCTATTATGTAAAGCCAGATTTTTAAAGTTGTTGTATTTTGTATTGTATATATCGGTAATTGTGTTTTAATTAGCCTAACTGAGACATAGAATTGTTAGATGTTGTCTTTTTTATCACACATTTTTGGCAGATGAAAAAATCCAGTTGGCGAAAAAAAATATGAACATCCATTTTGGCTTAAAAAATTTGAAAGCCAATCTGAGCCCTGGATATGTAGATTTATATTCGTTGTCTGGCAACCCTTTGTTTGTTTCTATGTAACAGAATTTACGTACTGTGATATCTGGAGTGGCGTTGTGGTCTTCTTGCTAGCTGGTTCCGACACAACAGCACTTGCTTTAACATTTGCACTCTACAACCTCGCAACACATCCTGAAATACAAGAACGTGTGGTGGAAGAAATAAACACAAATTTAAGACAGGTACCATGTCCATAACTATTATCGCTTATGGTTGATTCTCAGTAAATACAATATTTTATGGTTGATTTTGAGTAAGCATATCATAATGATTGATATTAAGTAAGCATATCTTAATGGTTGATATTGAGTAAACATATCTTAATGGTTATATTGAGTAAACATATCTTAATAGTTGAAATTGAGTAAGCATATATTGAGTAAGCATATCTTAATGGTTGATATTGAGTAAATGAAATGAAATCAAATGAAATGGGAGAGAGAGAGAGAGAGAGAGAGAGAGAGAGAGAGAGAGAGAGGAGAACAGAAGAGAAGAGAGGGAGAGAGAGAGAGAGAGAGAGAGAGAGAGAGGGGGTTTAACGTTCACTCGACACAAACTAGGTCATTTCGGGACTAACATATGGTTTAATTTTTTAAAAGATTAAAAATATAATGCAAATGCGATTTATATGAAAATATTTTCGGAAAAGGGAAATGAGCACCACCATTCGCCTTCTCAAAGTTGAATAATAAAATTAATGTTCTTGAGGTCCGCGTAAGGATTGATATTAAACGGATAATTGTTTTATATTTGTACAGGATGAAGTAGCCGACCATGATAATGTTGGTAAATTAACTTATCTACAGATGGTAGTAGATGAAACTTTAAGGCTGAATCCACCTTTACTGAGGTACGACACCAGTGTGCGGACATGGTAATCAAACGGCCAGCGCACTGGATTCTCAACTAGTCTCAATGACCCGGCTCCAAGTTCACAAAGCATTCTCAACTAGCAATTACTGTTTATGAGAAATATCTTTGATCCAGAAACACAGTACTTTGCACATATTTTCTTATTGGTGTATTTGATACATTAACACAACAAAAGTTTTATAAACGTTAATATTTTAGTTAAAATAAGGCAAACAATTTTGAGTAAATTCTTAACTTAAGTCTGAGAATGCTCAAATCTCGGCGTTGTCGGAGAAAAACTTCCAGAACTGGAGGCTGCTTGGCTGACAATGAAGGTTTTCGGGGTTGTTCTGAGGAGACCTAAAACTTGCCTCCAACCCAGAACACATTATACGTAAATAACTCTTGGTATGGGAAACACCACTATCTGGGGAAAAATACCCTACCTCGCATTGTACAGGTAACTACGGGTTCGATCCCGGTGTTAGCCGAGAAGGATTTTCAGCAGAATTTTTTTATTTTGTTTCCCCTTCTTGTTAGTGGTGCAGAACATGGGACCTGACAGTTGAACAAGAATTAAAGTAGGCAGAGTTCCTGGACAGCTTTCGCTCATAGCACAATAACATGGAGTATTACCATCTTCATTAATATGTGATACAGGAAAGAAGGAAGTTAAACACTTCTTTTCATTTATGATGCTATTTGATTGTATTGGTTTATTCTGTTCCTTTTGTTTTTGTTTTTGTTTTTGTTGTTTATTGTCTTAGTATCTATTTCAGATCAAGTCGTGCAGTTGGTGAAGAAATGGAGCTAAACGGTTACAAGATAAGGAAAGATATGGACATTTTTTTGCCAATTTATGCCATCCACAGAGATCCTGATTATTGGGAAAATCCGGAGAAATTTGACCCAGAACGGTTCGTTAGTTTTTTTCTCAACAATGTTATCATTGAAACAATGGAAAACTGAAAAACAAATAAAGTCAAGAAAGCCAGTAAGCACCGTCTCGTAGAGATCGCCATATATGGTCACGCCTGTTCATTTACAGTAAACATTGCCTCGTAGAGATTATTATATGTTTGGTACAATATATCCCGGTTGGTGCTGACGCGCCATTAAACACTGTTTTATTTCATTTAAAGTAAACATGCATTGTTGATTGATTTTGAGAATGATACTTGTGGTGTGGACTTATTTCGTTTTTTTATATTTTCAAGGTTTTCACCCGAGCAGAAATCTTCACGCCATCCGTATTGTTATTTACCATTTGGAGTTGGTCCACGGAATTGTATCGGCAATCGTTTGGCTCTTATGGAAGTCAAAACTGTGTTGGTCAGCATTCTCAGGAAATATCGAGTCATCTGTTCCCCAGAGACAGAGGTTGGTATTTATTAGTTTATTGTCAAATATAACGATAATATAGAAATAGGTCCAGTCTTTATTTAGCACGACATTACCCAAAACGATGTAACTAAATGGGGAGGACGGAGAGTCTGGCAAGAACAGTGTCTGTCGTTCGGATGAGTCGAAAAACCGAGAACCTTTTTACACATTGGCGTGCATGTAAAAGAGAGTGAGAGAGAAATTGGGTTTAACGTCCACTCGACACAAACTAGGTCATTTCGGGACAAACACATGGTTCAATTTTATTTTCATAATTCGCTCGCGCGTAGGGGTCTTTACCAGTGGGAGGAAACCGGAGGACTCGGAGAAAACCCACGCGGTTGGACAGGCGATCCTACTCCTTGCCACGTACAACCGGGGAATCGCACGTAAAAGAACCCTTGTCGGTTGGAATTGGAAATAAGAGTAGGCCGTAGAACCACGTTTTCATAAAAGTAGGATGTTATTGGTAATTGCCCCCAAATTGCTAGAATGAAATTCGGCCATCTGTGTATCAATGCGGCGGAAGCGGATGTCAACTGTGGTCATCGGAGACGAGTTGTCAAACATCAGACGAGTTTGATAGTCGGTGACAAAGAATTGCTCGTCGCTCTGAGATCGTACATCAATCGCACAATCTGATTAAAATACAGATCTATATTTCGTTTCGTTTTTTTTATACTTTTAATGGCCTCTACTACATGAAGATCTCACCGGCTGTAGTGGAAGGTCGCGTCAGGGGTCATACGAGCGGCTTTTGATCCTATGACATCAGACATATTTCTAGTGCACCACATGCCAAGAACTCGCCGTAACAGACTGTTTTATTGGCGGGTTATATAACAACTCTTCCAGATCCTAGTGTAGTAAAGACATGTCATAAGAAATTTGAACTAGGATCTGTGTTTTAATCAGATTGTCAATCGCACAATTTCTTTCTTTGACAAATCAGCACAAGCTAAAGTATAATGTGACCTTATTTAGAATTGTATCCATAGGCATCGCCATTTTCTCTAGTCACAAGGATCTCGATTGAAATCAGAGAATCATCGCCCGGTGGTGATCTGCACTATCGGCTTTGGTTAACTTTAACGTTATTGATTTTTTTGCAGAGACCAACCATAGAGCTAAGACCTGCAGACTTCATGTGTAGACCTAAAAATGGTGTCTTCGTAAAACTGGAAGAGCGAGATGGATAAATATAAAATAACCTGAAAGAAAAGATATGACTGATGGTTTTGGTGTTTCTTTCTGTAAATATGTTGAATTATGAAATCCATTTACTGTTTCTGTTCTGTTCTGTTTTCTGCTCATCTGGTGTTCTGGAATGAGTTACCATTTCTAGTTCCATATCAAGGATCCCCAACCTTTACCTCCCACGGACACCTTGTTTTGTTCAGTTTCATCAGGATTGCTCCGTGACAGGGATCTCCTACCTTTTCCTTCTCGCCACCCCGCTTAGGTCTATGAAGTGACATTAAACGTCTAGGGGGACCACGATGACCCACTGGTACTGCCTTCCAGCCCAGTCTTGCCAAGAAAGCTCCGACTTTTTCTTCCCGTTTACCCTTGTATTGTTCAGACTTCTACCTTAATAAAGCAATCTGGGAAATGTTTTTAACATCATATTTTTATGTTTAAATAACAATAACAATAGTATATAACAAGGTTATTTCATTATTTTCTTCTCAAAAAATAAAACAAATATGCATGTATTCATGAACAGCAAATCTCTGTGTAAATTTATGCTAGGAATATTCATAATTAAATGAGGGGTGTTTTAGATTTAGTTTTTTTTTAGATAATTCAATGGGCTTGTGATTCCATCGGTGGATGTTTCTTGGTTAATAGTGCCTGCTTTATTGCAAATGTATCATGATTTCACCGCTGTTGCTTTTTTAGTTGTATTTGTATACTATTTAGTTGTATTTTTTTACTATTTAGTTATATCTGTATACTATTTAGTGATTATATCTGTATACTATTTAGTTATATTTGTATAACTTTTAATTGGTACAGCTTTTAGAAATGTATGATTTTAGAGCTTCTTATGTAATTAACAGTTTATGACGATTTTTTTAAAATCTTTTTATTAGACCATTAAATATTTTATGTTCTTTATTTTCCTTTTTGAAATGGCACTTAGGACAACTTTTTGTTTGAAATGACACCAAAGATTTGATCTTATTTGAAGTAGCACCGAGAATGTTTAATTACAGATGTTCAATTGACTTTAACATATTTTATTGTGAGTTTAATTAAACATCTTGGGCATCTTTTGTACTGACTTTAATCACTGAGTAATGAACATTTATAGAAATTTTGTCACCTTCAAGATTTTGTTGTTTATTATTGTTGTTTATAATCTGATCTGATGAAAGAACAATACAAGTTAAATTGTTCTTGTTAAGAAAAGGTGTTTTTGTGTGTAGTTGTATTGTGAGCATTTAACACTTTACATTTAAATATACCTTCAGAACAAATAACATTTAACACATCAACCTATACAATATATCTATAGAACAAATAAAATCTGATAAGTTTGACCAAGGGCCATTATATATATACATGTAACAAAATGCCTTTTTGACTAATTTTAGTGCTATGCAATTAAAGATTCTTTCATAGTTCCCGTCTCTGATGCCTACTATGTCCTAAATGAAATGGGGTTTAACGTCCTACTGTTCTGCTCCTACTGGGCTAATGAAGAGGGGCAAACGTCATGCAGTGTGCTACGCGGGATATTTTGCCCGGACAACGGGGTTATGGCCTATCATTTCTTTTACGGACACGCCAATGTGTACACGGGACCTCGGTTTTTCGTCCCATCCGAAAGACTATACATTGACCCTTAGCAGGCCCTCCGTCCTACACTACTGACAAGGGGGACCACGCCGGAAAAACCTGATGAACTTCCTTGGTGGACGCAGGGATCAATCATGGGACCTCCAGGTTAGCGAGGCAACGTCCTACTCAGTGAGAAACCGTGGCTCCTATTATATACTAAAGGTTTCGATATTAAATGAAAAAAAAGTAAACTAACGTTGCAGATCGTCTTGTTTGAATACGAGGGTCATATTGAGACTAACATATAATAACTATCATTTTAATGGTTACGTGTGCAATGCTTTGCGAAGGAGGATAATTTTGAACGTGACAGTGGCGTTTCCGCCTACTCTTCTTGAATTTTCATTTGTCAATGTTCTTTTACGAGGGGACTCCAAGGACTAGGTACAATTTTTTGTCGACCTCGAGGGTGCACCACGTAGAAGTGAAAATCGGGCTCGAAAAATCACTATGTTTCTTCTCGTGTCATTCCGAGAATTCTAGTCGAGAGACCAGTCCTGTGCTCTAAACCCTCGACCACCAGGGCTCCTCGGAACTAACCAACCATGAGGTAGCACAAATAATAATTCAAATATGCGAACATGATCAGATGGAATAACTATATAACAAAATGTCCGCCATATTTTAGAACATAGTCTTCTTATAATTATCCTTACTTCATTAAACAATTCATCTTCAAATCAACCGGAAACCTGGTTCACAATTTCCAAAACATCTGAACTAATCTAAAAGATGTCGGCAACAATACATACTTGTCGTTTAGCTCAATTTAGGATGCAGGTTGGATGTAAGAATTGTTTAAAAGACAATAGAAGTGGCCATTAATGAGGATATAATGTGCTGTAGTTAATGAGAAAGTCATCAACATTAGATCTAATTGTCTATATACATATAGTAGGTTATGTACAGGTGAAAGACGTAGATTACGTACAGGTGAAAGACGTCATTAGAAGATATAGTAGAATCTTGTAGACCAACTGTAAATCCTTACAATACAACAATACTTTATACCACATCAAAGTCTTCTATATAGGTAAAACATTGTTGTATGTAGATACACTATAGGTATACAGACTATTATATAAAGGTGTTAATGGAAAAAAGATCGACTAACTCATTTACAAAAAGTGTCCGAGAATCTTCATCTCCATTGAAATAGTAATAGAACGCCTACTAGTACTTTTTATCAGGTCTCTGTCTAAAGTTCTAAATCATTGACATTCTGGGGGGAGGTTTGAATGACTTCAATAAAGCTAATTTCAGGTGAAAATAGAACTGTCGGTAGGATAAAAGGGGTGTCGTATAGATTATCTAATGTTATAAGAATTAATGGCTTGATTTGATATATTTTGAAATATTTTCTTTAATGTAACGGACCATGTCTTAATCCAAAAATAGGCTTAAAGATAAATATGTATTGTAATATCGATAGATTTGAGCCATTTGCCAGTCTACGTTTTTCTGTTTGCCATTTTCTTTTTCTAGACTACTTCTTCCCACAGTATTTTGTACGTCCTTTATTTTAGTATTTTATTTTTCTAGACTATACTTCTTCCCACAGTATGTTTTTACGCATATAGCTGTGCCCTCATTATTGTTTTTCTAGATATGCGCCCAAACTCACCAATGACATGCGATTTTTCCAAACTTTCACGTCGCACAGAAGTAGCCCTGCCCCCCTCCCCACCACAGCCTTTTGATTGATTTTGTTATTTTTTACCCTTACTTTTGTAAATCCAAACGAGGATGAAATTTGGATGATTTGGTGTGACCTTAAATAAAGCTAATTTCAGGTGAAAATAGACATGTCGGTAAGATGAAAAGGATGAGGTAGATAGATTATCTAATGTTATAAGATTTGATTGCCTCAGGTAGATGTGTAACTTGATACAGCAAACACCTTCAATCTCTACTACTTATTCACTTTACTTATATAAAGATCTTACTATCTCTACCGACATTCAAAAGATCATACGCAACTTAACTAATTTACCCTAAAGTCTTATTGAAAACTCAATTTAATCTTACTTATCTCATGCTTAAACTCTTAATTGGTTTTACTTTCAATTGGATCAATGAATATTGTGGTCACGCGCTTATGTCATTTTCCACCAACCCTGCTTCCACGATGCCGCCATTATTTATTTTTATAATAATATTTTTCTGAAAACTGACACAAAGTTAATGCAAATACAGCAAAAACGATTCAAAAAATGGGTAATCTTTTTTTATAAAGATATTTATATTAATCGTGCATTGCTATTGTGTATAATGTTGATATAAATTGTGTATTATTTTTTGTATACATCATAACTTTGACATTAATCGTGTATTGCTTATTGTGTGTATCATAACTTGATATTAATCGTCTATTGCTTATTGTGTGTATCGTAACTTTGATATTAATCGTGTATTGCTTATTGTGTGTATCATAACTTTGATATTAATCGTGTATTGTTTATTGTGTGTGTCATAATTTTGATATTAATCGTGTATTGCTGATTGTATGTATCATAACTTTGAAATAATCGTGTATTGCTTATTGTGTGAATAATTTAAATGAAATGATTATAACGCCCTGTAACTCATTTATTTATCTTATTAATTTACATTGTTGAATTGAACTTTCGTCGTAAAGAAACAAGAACATTATCAAATTCTTGAAATATCAAAAGTAAATAATATAAACATATATAGAGCAAATTTATATAAGCTTATTTGTGTATCATATCTTTAAAACTGTAATGTATTATATGATATTTTATGAATAAAATATTGTTTAAACCAAATTTTCAAATTATTCATTTTACATTATCTATTTTCGAACTATTATAATAAGAATAGGTAGCTCTTTATCTAAATCTTACATAATGTATCTTTAAATTTTGTCTCTTGTGACAGTACTATTTCAGTACTGAGTTTTAATGTCGCCACAGTTTCAAAAGTCGTGCTTGCTGTTGAATTTCAGCTAGGTGATCTAATTTGCATCTGTGACTATCTGAAGTTTTTCACTTAGAGCAGAATAACACGATCGATTGTGTAAAACTATTGTTTTCTTATCATGAAAAAATCGTGTGATCTTACAAATTAAACCAATTGTCCTCTTTCTAAATTATAGACCATTGCCGAAATTGAAAAGACTTCATTTATTTCTGTGTAAGAGAGAGAGAGGTTTTTCTCAAGAGAATTTTTCAGCCGTGTTGGTTTTTAATTAAGATGGTCATCAAAATGTCGATTTATACGCAGCGGGAACAATAAGTATTATTCAATTATAAGGCGGTTTTAATATTAAAATCTTTTTCAGTGTATTGTTAATATTTTTAATGCTGTATTGCTATTATTTTATGTTTTATTTTTTTTTAATTTGTAGTATCGAAAACATTCTTTTCTCAGATTTGAAGTTAAATCACAAGCCAAGAAATGGATATAGAAATGCTAATTCTTGACAAAATTTTCTGGAAATTCAATTTTAAGTAGCTTGTTTGCCAGTTGTCCACGAAATAAAAACAGGGTACAATTTTGTGTATTGTTTTTTGTGTAGCTGTTGAGCTGTTGATACTGGGCCGTTTTTGTTATAAAGCAATGGGATAACCTAACTAGCCCTTTAATAAAAACACGATGTATTTTAAGTTTGGTTCTGTTTAAACAAAGATACAATATAACTAGTCGACAGATAGACCTATAGGTGCAACAGTGGCGCCTCTCAACGAGAAGTGTAATAGAGAAGTTAGAATGGAGATTCTAGTATTGTTTAACAATGGTGTCTTTTGTTTTTATTATTTAACAATGACGACCATGTAAGATAAAAGAGTATTCTGATGAACAATAGTAATAAACTAATGAAGCACTTCTCTGTCTCGTCATTTATTCTTCTCTTTCATCAAACTAGTCTCGACTTTATAAAAACATCGAGTTTCTAATTCTACTACTGTTTACAACTAGACCTTGTTAAAATAGGGAACCAAGTGGGTATTATTTATAAAGCACCCTTATACGGATTACTTATTCAATTTTAAACACATCACCATCATTTATTTAAACCATTCGTCCATTGTTTTACGTAGTTAGTTGCCATTTTCTATGCCCATTAACGAATGCAGTGCTACCCAAGTGGCATGTCCAATCCTAATTTAAACAATCGAGTTTTAATTAATTCAAATATTTCTTTCAGACGACCAGACAGGCCAGGGATAAACTGTTCTTAGTATTTTGACAGGATACTCAAATAAACAGTAGAGATGAAACAGTAAATTCTTCGCTTTGTTTCAATAAATTTGATCGTTTGTTACGCCTGCTGATTTTTCAAATTGTGTTAGGACTTAATCGGGATTAGGCCCCCAGTCGTTTTGGTGACCACAAGTGTCCGTAAAGGGTTTTTGAAACAACAGATAAATACCCCTATTGTTCAAGCAGCCAGAAAGGGACGTTATGTTTTTCACAGTTCTGTAAGCTAACAATACATCTTGAATCCACGTAAGTCCAGATGTCGCCACAGACGTTTCCTTATATTCTAAACTGAGGGAGGGGGATTTAAAATCTGAACGTTATAAATCACTCCGAGCAATAAACTGATTGTTTTATATTGACCCGTGAGTGAATTTCAAACAGAAAGATGTTTGTCTTGTTTTGTCTCGCAAGGCTCTACGTGTATAAAGTCAGTTTTGAAATGGACTTTATAAATTTTCCTTTGTTCGGTTTTGGAATACCTTCAAATGTCGTTATCGGGTCATAAATTGCGATACTGATTAACGCCGAAATCAACGGGCATCGATGATATTCAAACGTATATGGATTTGCATAAATTGCCAAAGATTACGTGAATAGTTTGAAGTCGAGTTCCGGATTAATGCTCAGATTTGAAGACACTTATGTTGATCGTTTTCAAGAGTGTCATATATATTTCAAATTAGAGTATGGTTCTCCCCTTTTGGACATATTTTAAATATGTATATATACAATTACTAGGCCCACTGTTTACTTCCAACATCCGGTTATTCGTCATAATAATGACGTCATGTAATAGTTTCAGACAGATGACGCTTGACTGTAAATGTGACAGACGTACAGTCACGTGATACTGCCTACTATGCTCCATTGTGTAAATTATATAATGGACACTCCATGGAGGAAGAAATAAAGACTAATTTAAGTGCCTTCTAACTGCGACCTTATTGTCACCTCGCTTTAAATATGCCATCTCGAGAGTCGATTTAACATGAAAATACTTCTAGGAACGGAAGAGGCGGATGTGTTCTGTTGGTGGGCGATGACGTTGTAAATAAGTCGTTGTGATTTCTGTTGGCCTATTCATTCTCTTTGCACATTTCCATTCATTTTTATCTACATCCTTTTTTTCATTAACATCCTTTTACATCAATAGTGTCACATCCTAGTCTACGATAATAATTTCTATAGAAACTCAAAATCTGCATAACTAAAACCTTGAATTTGTGATCAGGTAGAAAAGTGCTTGAATTTGTGATCAGTAAAATGACATGCGACTGTAACTGAATAATATGTCCCAATCTTTATTCTGGTCAACAACTTGCACTATTTTACAATAATCCAATTAATTGATGATACAAATTTCATCTTAACACACCTAATTTAAAAAAATTGGAAAAATTCAACTAAATGATTTGAAAAGCCTGGCGTAAAGCTTTACAAATGTGACTTGGATTTAAAAATATTTCTTGAACCCTCTGGACAAGTAAAATAGGATTTAATGGATAATTTACACAACAGGTAGGACACTAACACATCTGGTACTTAGAATAAGGCTATTTTTTATTTTCTGGAGCTGTCAAGCCAGCAAGAGTGTTATTGTCCCTTTAAGGCATGAACTGTTATGTAAACTATTAATTAGGCGTTTACAAACACGACACGACTATAATTAACTCTCGATGCTATCGGATATTCCCGATATTCAGTAGATTAGAACGGTTCAGCCATATTTTGATTCAATCTAAAAATGGTGAAGCGAGGCTATGCTTCTAACAGCCAGTGCAGTAGTTGCAATTAATGTACACATCTTGTCAAACCTTCAAAAGCTGATATCTTCGCTCGCAATGGAGTAATTTGAATGAAATTTTCAATAAATTCATTTTGTATTAGCTTTTTATCTAAATCTTACATAATGTATCTTTTAGTTTCCTGGGCGTAGGAAATGTCCATGGAGAAAAGTCCCCCGTCGTCCCCGTGCACTCGCATTGTTGACAAACCGATAAGTCTGATACTGCAATCCTGGATTATATGCTGTCTTTAATCTTTTCATGTATGTAATTTTGCTTTTCTGCACCAAGCGTACTAATAAAGAAATGAAAATGAAATGGAGTTTAACGTCCTACTGTTCTGCTCCTATACTGAGCTAATGAAGACGGGCATACGCCATACAGTGTGCTATGAGTGAAATTTTGCCAAGGCAACGGCACTATGGGCTACTCTTATATCGAATTCCAACTGCCAGGGGATCGTTTACGTGCACGCCAATGAATACACGGGACCTCGGTTTTTCGTCCCATCCGAACGACTAGACAGCTGTCCTTGTCAGGCCATGCTAATAAAGACAGGTATACATAATGCAGTATTTTGATAAAGACGGGGGAACCCTCGTCAAAACGTCGCCAGAAATAAATCTTTTAAGTAACTTGTATTCCATAGAATTGTGTCTTTTGTTATCATGTAGTATGCCATGGGGGACATTATTTCCCGGGCAGCGTCGCTACGATCTAAGGTTATATCATCTCCTACCATCTATCAGGTGATCTTTAACTTTAAGACGTTAACACCATTGTCTTGCGATAATCGTCTATAGTTTAAAGTTTAAACGTATTTTATTGTATGGACATTACAATACAATACAAAAGGATTAGAAATGAAATGAAATGAAATTGGGTTTAACGTCCTACTGTTCTGCTCCTATACTGGGCTAATGAAGACGGGCATACGCCATACAGTGTGCTATGAGGGAAATTTTGCCCGGGCAGCGGCACTATCGCCTACTCTTATATCGAATTCCAACTGTCAAGGGATCTTTTACGTGCGTTCTAATGTATACACGGGACCTCGGTTTTTCGTCTCATCCGAAAGACTAGACAGCTGTCCTTGTCAGGCCCTCCCTTCTGCACCACTGACAAGGGGAAACCACGTCGGAAATCTGGATGAACTTTCTCGGCCAATGCAGGGATCGAACACCCGACCTCCAGGCTAGCGAGCCAGCGTCTTAACCACCTAGCCACCGGATTAGACTAAAGTTCTAAACAAATTACAAATGTCTTCTTATAAATTCTTAATTGATAAGAATATGGCAACGTTCGGTTTTACTCCACTAGCCGTAGAACGGAATGACACCACTGGGGATACCGAGGATGCTCTTATTTCTTTTGAATGTCGGTAGAGATAGTAAGATCTTTATATAAGTAAAGTGAATAAGTAGTAGAGATTAAAGGTGTTGACTGTATCAAGTTACACATCTACCTGAGGCAATCAAATCTTATAATATTAGATAATCTATCTACCTCACCCTTTTCATCTTACCGACAGGTCTATTTTCACCTGAAATTAGCTTTATATAAGGTCACACAAAATCATCCAAATTTCATCCTTATTTGCATTTGCGAAATTTACGAAAACGAAAATAAAGGACGTACAAAATACTGCATAAGAAGAAGAAGTCCAGAAAAAGAAGATGGCGACCAGATAAAGTAGAACGACACCCTCTGTAAATGAGTTAGTCGATCTTTTTTCCATTAACACCTTTATATAATAGTTTGTATACCTACAATGTATCTACATTCAACAATGTTTTACCTATATAGAAGACTTTGATGTGGTATAAAGTATTGTTGTATTGTAAGGATTTACAGTACAACAGTTGGTCTACAAGAATCTACTATTATTATCTTCTAATGACGTCTTTCACCTGTACGTAATCTACGTCTTTCACCTGTACGTAACCTACTATATATATAGAGACAATTAGATCTAATGTTGATGACTTTCTCATTAACTACTCTACATTATATCCTCATTAATGGCAACTTCTATTGTCTTTTAAACAATTCTTACATCCAACCTGCATCCTAAATTGAGCTAAACGACAAGTATGTATTGTTGCCGACATCTTTTAGATTAGTTCAGATGTTTTGGAAATTGTGAACCAGGTTTCCGGTTGATTTGAAGATGAATTGTTTAATGAAGTAAGGATAATTACAAGGAGACTATGTTCTACAATAGAGAGAGAGAGGGAGAGAGAAATGGGGTTTAACGTCCACTCGACACAAACTAGGGCATTTCGGGACTAACATATGGTTTAATTTTATTTCAATAATTCGCTTGCGGGTATGGGTCTTTAGCAGTGGGGGAAACCGGAGGACTTGGAGAAAACCCACGAGGATGGACAGGCGACCCTACTCCTTGTCACGTACAACCGGGGATTCGAAACCACGCCAGTTGACTCAATGACAGGCCTTATGATACATCGCTCGTGCTAACCATTCGACCATCCAACCCCCCGTTCTAGAATATGGAGGACATTTTGTTATATAGTTATTCCATCTTATAATGTTCGCATATTTTAATCATTATTTGTGCTACCAGTTTAGGGGCCCATAAAGCGGTTAGAGGAAGTATACTCTCGACTACTGATTTCGAATCCCGGTCTTACTCGAGATGAACCTTCGGAAGTTTTCAAGATTGGTGGGTTCGGTCGGGGATGGGACTGGGGACTGGACAAGAACAGGGCTCCTATTTCCTTGGTGTCCACACGTTGAGACAGACACGCCACTGTCTGGGCAAAATTTCTGCTACATCGCATTGCACACGCAAAGATGGAAGAGATAACTACCATGAATTCGATATAAGAGTAGACCGTAGTACCGCTGTTCGGACAAAATCACCTCCATAGCACACTGTATGGCGTATACCCCTCTTCATTAGCCCAGTCGGGGCAGAGCAGGGGGACGTTAAACCCCATTTGGTGTATGGTGTAAATTAAGACAATAGTTAGCCTGTCACTCTCTATGGTTACTGGTAAAACTTATTTCATTTTATTTGCTGTATAATAGGTTGTAGATATATTGTATAGGTTTAAATAATGTAATCAATTCTAAGGTGTGAAATGTCAAGCCTTCTATTTAGAGGTTAATTGTGTTAATTATATAAAATCAACGAGTCAAATCTAAAACATGTTAAAATCTGACGAGTTTAATTCTAGAATATAATAGAAACCTGTCATTACAGGTAAAACTTATTTAATTTTATTTGTTCTATAGATATGTAGGTGTGAGAGATGTGACCTATTTAATTCTAACAATACATCTACATCTTCTCTTTAACAAGAACAATTTAACTTGTATTGTTCTTACATCAGATCAGATTATACAGAACAAAACAAAACAAGATGGTGACTATAATGTAGAATCTTGTAGGAGACATAATTTCTATAAATGTTCATTACTCAGTGATTAAAGTCAGTACAAAAGATACTCAAGATGTTTAATTAAACTCACAATAAAACATGTTAATGTCAATTGAACATCTTTAATTAAACATTCTCGGTGCTACTTCAAATAAGATCAAATCTTTGGTGTCATTTCAAATAAAAAGTTGTCCCAGTGCCATTTCAAAAAAAAAAAAAAAAGAACACAAATTATTTAATGGTTTAATAAAAAGATTTTAAAAAAATCGCCATAAACTGTTAAATACATAAGTAGCATTAAAATCTTAAATTTCTAAAATTATACAATTAAAAGCTATTATATAAATACAACTAAAAATATACATGTACAACTAAAAAATCGTCATAAACTGTTCAATACATAAGTAGCACTAAAATCATACATTTTTAAAATAACACATGTACAAATGAAAGCTATTATAGAAATACAACTAAATAGTATAGAAATACAACTAAAAAATATAGAAATACAACTAAAAAGCAATAGTGGTGAAATCAAGATACATTTCGAATAAAGCAGGAAATATTAACAAAAAAAATCCCATGATAGAATCACAAGCGCATCGAATTACCCAAATAACAAAAAACTAAACCCAAACCTCCCCTCATTTAACTATAAATACCCTTAGCATAGATTTACACCCAGATTTGCTGCTCATGAATATACATATTTTTTAATCATAATTCCCTAAAAATCTGAAGTTGAGATGAATGTAATGAAATAACCTCGCTGCATGCTTGCTATTGTTACTGTTATTTCAACTTAAAACAATGATGTTAAAAAAGGTATTTTAAAAAATTCCCAGACTTCTTTATTAAGATAGAAGTTTGAACAATACAATGGGGTGAAAGTTTCCAAGGGTAAACGGGACGGAAAATGTTGGGAACTCGGTTGTCATGAGGTAAAGAACTTTCTCGGCTTCTGAACAAAACAGGACGTCGTGAAGGAAAGGGTTTGGAATCCCTGAACTGGAGCAAGGAATGCTTACTCATTCCTGATATCACTTACTGAACAAAACAAGGTGTAAGAGGGAGGAAAGGATGGGGATCTATGATATGGAACTAGGAATGCTAACTCATTCCAGGACACCAGATGATACTTCTGCTGTATTTGGGAAGTGCAGATAACTCACAGGGTATTGAGCAGAAAACAGAACAGAATAGAAGCAGTAAATGGATTTCATAATTCAACATATTTACAGAAAGAAACACCAGACAATTATTTAAGTCATATCTTTTCTTTCAGATCATTTTATATTTATCCATCTCGCTTTTCCAGTTTTACGAAGACACCATTTTTAGGTCTGCACATGAAATCTCCAGGCGTTAGTTGTATGGTTGGTCTCTAAAAAAAATAACATACAGTTTTAGTTTATTAAAGCCTAGAGCCCTAGATAGTTTAGTGATTACCACCGTTGATCTTGTGACTAGGGCAAATGGCGGCGCACACATATTAAAATTTGGTTAAGGGGGTCGCCATTTTGTAAGATAAGGTGATATTTTAGCTTATTTATCAAACTAAAAAACTGCTCCACGAGAAACTGATATCCGTGTCCGCCACAGTGTCGCACACACTGGTGGTTTTTTTTCTAGCGATATTGTGGTAATTGATAATCGCTGACAAGCTGCCTTGTGTAATTACAGCGTTATGGATTGGTTTCTGTTGGGCAACACAGAAATGAAATAATATAAAATGGGGTTTAACGTCCTACTGTTTTGCCCCAATTGGGCTAATGGAGACGGGTTGGGCAACACGGTTCGTAAAAGAAGACTGGACCTATTTCTATTATCGTTATAATAAATACCAACCTCTGTTTCTGGGGAACAGATGACTCGATACTTTCTGAGAATGCTGGCCAACACAGTATTGACTTCCATGAGAGCCAAACGATTACCGATACAATTTCGTGGACCAACTCCAAATGGTAAATAACAATACGGATGGCGTGAAGACTTCTGCTCGGGTGAAAACCTTGAAAATATTAAAATGAAATAAGTCCACACCGCAAGTATCATTCCCAAAATCAATCAACAATTCATGTTTACTTTAAATGAAATAAAACAGTGTTTAATGGCGCGTCAGCACCAACAGGCTATATTGTACCAAACATAAAATAATCTCTAAGAGATAATGTTTACTGTAAGTGAATTACAAGAACAAAATGAACAGACGTGACTGGGTGAAACTGTCATTTGTTTTTTTACGGTACCCTTGTTCAGTTAATATTGCACCAAATATGGCGATATTTACGAGACAGTGCTTACAATAACCAAACTCGGAAAACTGATAACATTGTTGAGAAGAAAACTAACGAACCGTTCTGGGTCAAATCTATCGGGATTTTCCCAATAATCAGGATCTCTGTGGATGGCATAAATTGGCAAAAAGATTTCCATTTCCTTCGTTATCTTGTAACCATTCAGTTCCATTTCTTCAGTAACTGAACGACTGGTTCTAAAATATATACACGCATATAGAAACAAAAACAATAAACGGCCTACTTTTATGCCGACTTTAACAGCCAGGGGATCTTTAACGTACTGTCAATGGTATATAACAGGGCCGCGATTGTCTTGTCCAAGACTAAGCATCATGATAATCGAGCTTTTGATTAAACGCATTTGCTTGTCAAGCCATCCTTTCTAAATCACTGAGAAGCAGGAACCAGACTGGGAAATCCCAAGAAACTGTCTCCACCAACAGCGGGATAAAACCTGGGACGTCCTAGTTAGCATGAAGTGAATTGAAATAGGGTTTAATGTCCTACTGTTCTGCTCCGACTTGGCTAATATTGAGGGGCATACGCCATACAGTGTGCTATGACGAAAATGTTGCCCGGACAGCGGTTTTTCTTCTCAGGCCCGTGCATCCTGCACCATTGACAATGGAAAATCATGCCGGAAAATCTAGATCAACTTTTGTCGGCCAACACCAGGAGCGAGCTCGCGACCTCCAGGCTAGCGAGACAGCGTCTTACTCACTTAGCCACCATGGCTTCGTCCTAGTTAGCGAGTCATACCAACTGAGCCACCTAACACCCGGATCCCCACATTGTCGACAGTACACTGTAAAAAATATCCATTTTTTATGTGGTCGAATTCCGTAGTTTAACAGTTTTTTGGAGAAATTGTGTTAAAAGTGTGAATTATTTCTTCGAATTACGTGTTTTATGTATTTCTATGGAATATTCAGTATTAAACAGCAAATGTCCGTCAAATTTAGGGATAAAATGTTTTGTTCCCTTCTATAATCGACTTAATTCTGTTATTTTACGGAATAAACGATGGAATGACCAGGAATTTCCGTGAAATTTTGGGATAAAATGTTTTATTCCATTCTATAATTGACTGAATTCTGGTATTTTACGGGATAAACGGTGTAATGACCAGGAATTTACAGATAATTTCTGTTTGCAAATGCAACGATAAGTAATCGTATATACATAATATAATCATTTATAATAATTATCATGTTATAGTATTCATTTCAATTTATTAACCATCATATTTTTTAAACTTTGGTATATTACATGTCATGTATATCTAATTTCCATTATTTATAAGATCTATAAATTAGTGTATTGTCAATGGATAATTCAATGAAATTTTTATGCTCAGGAAACGAAAATTACCAGGATTTTTTTTTCTGTATTTGAAAATGGAATTTATGTTAATTGAAGGAATTTCTGTAAATTACAGGAAAAACTAATACGGATAAAATTTTCCTGGTAATTTTTGTTTCCGGAATTTTTTACGTTTTTTCACGGATTTTGTTTGCACAGAGTACAATGAAATGTAACTGGTACCCTACCTTGCTAAAGGTGGATACATCCTTAAAGTTTCATCTACTACCATCTGTAGATAAGTTAATTTACCAACATTATCATGGTCAGCTACTTCATCCTGAACAAATATAAAACAAATATTCGTCTAATATCAATCTTTACACTTTTCCGAAAAGATTTTCATATAAATCGTATTTTTAATCTCCTAACATGCCCAGAACCTTCCTTTGGGTTGTGAACGGTATATATTTTTAATTCAAATACCGTAACCAAATTTTAAACAATTAAGATAGTCTTACTTAATATCAACTATTAAGATATGTTTACTCAAAATCAACCATTAAGATATTTTACCCTATATCAACTATTAAGATATGCTTGCTAAAAATCAACCATTAAGATATGTTTACTCAATATCAACCATTCGGGTATTATTACTGGATATTATACTTACTGAACATCAACCATTTAGATAAACTTATTCAGTATAATCCGTTAAGATATTATACTTACTGAATATCAACTATTAAGATATTATACTGAATATCAACCATTAAGATATTATACTTATTGAATATCGACCATTAAGATATACTAAATATAAACCATTAAGATGTGCTTATTAAGATATGCTTACTCAAAATCAACCATTAAGATATGCTTACTCAAAATCAACCATAAAATATTGTTTTTACAGAGAATCAACCATAAGCGATAATAGTTATGGACATGGTACCTTTGCGAAATTTGTGTTTATTTCTTCCACCACACGTTCTTGTATTTCAGGGTGTGTTGCGAGGTTGTAGATTGCAAATGTTAAAGCAATTGATGATGTGTCGTAACCAGCTAGCAAGAAAACCACAGCGCCACTCCATATATCATAGTACGTAAAAGCTATAACATAAAAGCAAATAGGGTTGCCAGACGACGAATATGCTGTGAAAAGAGTGTCGAGGGATATCATCAAGGTTTCTGTGACAGGGGCAATAAAACGTGCAGGTCCGAATAAAATCTCAAAACTTGTGACCTTGGTAAAAGTTGTAATAGCCCATCATAAATTTTGATGTTTGACCGTTAATTTCGATAGAATTCCTATATTTCTCTGGAGCAATAATTATGCACAAATGGATCCGCTATTTTGTATATCTATAGGATTCTCTTTACGATTTGACGAAGAATCCTGGAGAGATTTGACATCCGATTTGACATCCTTTACCAGTAAAGCGCCCTCCATTTAGTTTTCAGTGGCACGGGCAATAACTCCGCATAAGGGTATCTCTTAAGAACAAATCGAACAACTGCAACAATTCTGCAAGAACGATAAAGTGCGGAACTGAATGACAATAGTGTTCTGCCTCAGATATAGAGGAACATTTCAAGCAAAACTCTGACTTGTAGAGTGTTTAACGGAAGGACGGGCACGGGAGACGATAATACGTCTTTTTTCGTGTCACGTGAACTGTTTATTTTGACAAGTAATAAAGGAAGAATTATTATAATAAAATACCAAAATATTTACCCGAACCATCTTCGTTATTTTTGGTTTCTTCGTTGGCATTAATTAACAATTGGAGGAAATCTTTCCGTTTCTGAAAGTATATTATTTCGATGGAAATATATATAATGAAAAGGAAGGAGAGAGAGAGAGAGAGAGAGAGAGAGAGAGTTTAACTCGACACAAACTATAGGTAATTTCGAGACTAACTCATGGTTAAATTCCATTTCAATAATTTGCCCGCGGATAGGGATCTTTAGCAGTGGGAGGCAACCGAGCAGCTCGGAGATAACCTACTGCTTGACAAGTACAAGAGGAGATTCAAAAAGCTACGCCACCTGACTCAACGACAACCCCTGTGATTTCACACGCACGCGTTAAACCACTAGACCCCCACCCCCGACTAAAAAGGAGCTGCGAGTATGGTGGGGTCGGGACCCTAAAAGAAGATAATGTTCACACGCAGTTTGGGAGTCCTTCTGAATTTACATCGTTTTTGATGAATTGGTAAAGCCTAGCTCACAACCCGTCGTAGGTGTTTTGAAACGGGTCGTATAGGGTTTGGTGGCGCGCAGTCCAGCCGCAAGAAACCGGGTGAAAACTTTGTATGTGCAGGACCAAAAGTCTCTACGGACATCAGTCTGCGATCTTCGACGGTGTCGAACACACGCAAGCGACGCTTAAGTCTCACGCACGGATTTACTAAATCTCCCCCGTAGACTGTACCTATAGAAGCACGTACGGCGGACTGTCAATCTGATTTAAACACAGATCCAATTTCGTTTCGTTTTTATAGTTCAAAATTTTGATTTTACTTGTCTTTACTACACTTGGATCTGGAAGCGTTGTTATTGAAATGAGGGGTCAGCCAATCAAATGGTCTGTCGAATCGAGCGTTTGACCATTTTTGCGCGGAGCTGTGGGTAGACATTAGCGGCAATAGAAATCAAAACAAAGCAAAAGTAGATAAAAAAAAATACATGGTGGTCGCTAATTGGTTTTAATCGAATGACTGACGTAATCGGGTCAAATGATTCCCACATACTACTTTTGTACATAAGCAAGGACATTTTCTAGAAAAAAGTCCAAGGCCTACTAGAGTGGAATAAAAAAAGTATTTTTACTCTGCAGGATATGTTTACAATCAAAGAGCGAAATTTTTCTTAAAACCTGTCAATTAAAAGGACAATGAGCGCAGAGTTGGAAAATTTAAGATTATTTTTGGATCGCTTTGCTAGCCCAACATGAAATACTATATGAATTTGTGCATGTACTTACACTTGGATTTTCTTTCCTCTCCTTGACAACATCATCAATAAGTTTTGTAAAAACAGATTTGCAATCACTAGCCATAAAACCAATACCTACAGACTCGAACACTCGAACCATAAATGGGAAGGTAACTTGAAATATAAGAAATGGGTTATAAGAAGAACGCAATAAATATTTTCGCCTATTGACAATACTATTCAAAATAAAATAATGATTTGGGATTTAATGTGCGAGCTAATGACGACGGGTATACGCCATTACCCGGACAGCGACGCTACAGTCCACTCTTATTTCGAATTCCAACTGTCGACGCTTCTTTTAGGAGCCCGCCAATGATCAAAGGAACCTCGGGTTTTCGTCCCGTCTGAACAACTAGACACAGTTCTTTACCAGGTTTTCCCTTGCAAGAAAATTATGAAAACTTTCTTGATCAACAACGGGATCGAATCCTGCACCTCCAAATTAGCGAGCCAGCGCCTCACCCATTTCGCCATCATGGCCCCGACTATATTAATTAGTTGAGCGGTAAGAGCACTATAGACTAGAATGTCCCGGATTCACTCTTATATACACACTTATGTCACATTAAAATCTGCTTTAAGAATAATTTTCGTCCATCTATATTAAGGTTCCAAAGAATGGAGCTATGCGCAATTAATATGCCGCCGCTACCCCGAGGAATAGAAGGTGTGCATACTTACCACACAATATGATATATGGGTCGGTCATCTCCATTTTCATGGCTTTAATACAGGCCTTGATCACTGGATTATCGGGTTCGTTCTGAGAGTCAACATCTATGCCAAATGCAACACTACAGACGACATCCATTGAGTAACCTTTTATAAATCTGCAATCGACGGTTATATTTTAGGATGTGCGCCACTTCGAAAATCGCCCTGGACATTCGAATCTGTACGCCTAATTGCTATTCGCCAGAGAAACGTACACATTATTACAACGCATTAAATGCCGTTTACTGAACCTAACCATAAATTAGATTTCATTTTATAGGCCTCACTGACTGAAACTAGGCCTGCAGATATGCACGATTTATACGCATTGGTTATCACCATACTGCGCATGATTCTAGCATTTAGACAATATAAACGACGTTCCAAAATTGCGAAATTGAACAATTTATTCGAACGAAACCTGGTAAAATATTAATTATTTTTAAAATAAGTGACGATCCTGTTATAAAATATTATATGCCTTACGTTGACACGTCAACAGATTTCCCACTATTGGCATGTTGTTCTAAATGCTTAAGTAGATTCTCTGTACATGTGTGCATCAATGGCATCATCTGTAAGCAGAAACAAAGAGACTATATCAAGGCTTCTCCTTCAATGGACGTTTCATTCGAAGCTATTTGCCCAGTTTCTGACGGGGCTAAGATGTAATTAATAACAATACCCTACCTCTCTTAATTTACCAGAACTAAACGTTGGTGTCAGGACGGATCTTGAGCTCTTCCATTTTGCTCCCCGAGCAAAACTCAGAATTCCCTTCTCATACTTGTTCATTGGCAATACACTCTGTTATAAAATCAAATGACAAATTATGACTATTGTTTGTCTGATCTGGTGGCTATCTGACTGGAAATGCTTACGGTGAAATAACAAAGATATACAAACAAAGAATCCAGTAAAGTGGTTCCAATGATCAGTATAACTGAAGCGGTTCATAAGACGCGTTTTCAAGGGCGATAACCTTATTAATGGAAATAAAGCATATAAATCTAAATTGTGATAACGTGCTTCGCCACTATAATATTCACAAGATGATTCAATTAACAGTCTAAAACAAGCATAAAATAATTCTTAAAGTGATCAAGAAAGGTAACTCTACAGGTAATTACATTAAACGAGTTTATTCATATCGACCTCTTTGAAACAAATACAAATATCTAGTATTACTAGTATAACATTGGAATTGGTTTCAGTCCATTGATATGGGAAAAACACACAGCGCATGTCAAGTACGGCGTCACATTTTGCGCCCCCCTTCCCAGCAGCAACCCAATCCTCGCACCGTTCTTCTGACTCATTCACACAATTTATTTTATACATCACTTGGGACTTACGTTAAATCGTTCTTAAGTCAATATCAGTTTTGACCCAGTTCTGGTCAGCAAATTGGGCCATCGCTTACCCATGTTGTAACCATGGCCCTCACATAAGGGGAGACTGGGGGGGGGGGGTATACCCGGGGCGACACTTCTTATGTCGGCAAATTATCTAAGTGCATACCAGAAATATTCAAGCATGTCGTACATAATGCACGACACCCATAGCTACAACAAAAATTAGCTTGTAAACACTCACTGGTCTGTCGACAAAATGACTGAAATGCTTAATGCAAATATCCTTTATTGTTTCTGGATCGGCCACCGATAAAACCGGTAGTCTCGCGTTAAAATACCTGTATAAATAATAAATAACATGTTTTATAATAATACGCCTGAATATATATCCCGGTGATTCTATAAGTTGGAGTGAATTGTAATAATTGTAAAATGAATCCATCCATCCAACCAAAAACAAAAGCCAGACTCGTGACAAATAAAACATGGAATCTTTTCAACGCTAGCGGGTGATTTCCGGACGTGACGTTGTAATGCCCGTAAAAACGAGCGGTCGGTTCCCGGTCGCGACCTTCACTTGTTTACGTTCAGACGTTGGACGTCCAGAAAACAACTCTTGGCAAGACTGGCACCAAGAAGAACCAAGAAAGCAAAGCAGTTCTGCGCACAATACAAAAGGTTTTTTCTAGTCGTTGGTTTACGCCAAGACATCGGAGATCTGGCCGAACCCAATGAATAGCCCGCGAAAGTTCAGGGGCCCACGACACACAGTTACTTGTTATTCAATAATATTATTTTGGAAAATCCTACCCTAAAATTTTTCCATATTTCTTATGAAGCTCTATATCAATATCACCCATAGTCTGTAAATAAATAAAATATTATAACTATAGGTCATGTCGTACAAACCAACGAGAACTTTCTTTTGTGTCTCATTTTGGTGCCGAGAGCAACGGTGGTTCGGTTCGTATGGTGCTGGCTTACAAACCTTACATGCCTTCACATTGGTCTATTGTGGGAGCCACGGTGACTAAGACACTGATTTACTATTCGGAAGGTCCCGGGTTCGATCCCGGTGTTGGGCGGGATAGTTCCTCGGGACATCACATTGTCTTCCACAGGAAGGATGATCTGCCACAGAACAGCATCTAGTCGTTCGGATGAGACAAAAATAGGGGTCCATCCGTGCATTCGTTGGCGCATAGGTAACAGAACCAGTTGGAATTCAAGATGAAACGCCGCTGTCCAAGCAAAGTTCCCCTGATAGCACACTGCATGATTTATTCACGTCTTGATAATCCAGTTTTTGTACGACGTTAAATCCCATTTTATTTGTTTACTATATTTAATAATCTTACTTTGACACGATACTCTGAAACCAGTCCTAGTAAACCCGGTTCTGGTCCTGGGATTCCGGCATTCTTGAAAATACTGTGAGTCCATGTTATATAACTGAAATTGAGTTGGTGGATAAAATACTATAAATATCGGGCTTTGGGGGAAGGTGTGGTGTGCTTTGTTCAAGGAAAAACATTATCATACCGGGCCAATCTGGTTTAAACACAGATTCTATTTCGTTTCGTTTTCATAGTTCAAAATTTCGTTTTGCTTATCTTTACTAAACTAGGATCTGAAAGAGTTGTTATATAATTATAACCCACATTCTGGTTGATGTGGGGGATTAGCCTATCAAACGATCTGTTACGGTGAGTTCTTGGCACGCGGTGCACAGAACTGTGGGTATCCCACTAGAAACATCAACGCTGATTGACGTTATAGGGTCAAAGGCGGCTCGTATGACCCCCAGGCGTGACCTTCCGCTACAACCGGTCAGATCTTCGTGTAATGGAGGCCATCGAAAGTATAAAAAACGAAACGAAATAAAGATTTAAATTTTAATCAGATTGTATACCGAGCTGAATCTAAAGTAAGAGCAATATGGCTCAAATAAAAAAAACGAAACCTCTGAAATATTGCTAGCACCGGTGCTTAAATAAATATACATTTTATTCAAGAATTAGTTTGAGTAAAGGATGATTAAACATATATTATGCAAGAGCTAAATCTGTCTATTGCAGATCTTTCTTTAGGCCTGAAATGCTATCTAAATTATTAATTAGACATTAATTAACCTATCCAGACCATAATCAACTCTAGATGGCATCGCTAGCCTTCAATCTTTAGTGGATTATGAGCCGATTTACTGCATAACTTTCCATCACGATTTAATGATTAAATGGATCATCGGGACTATGCTGTTTATCGTACTGACTTTGGTAATGATGATCAAGGCTAGCCGGAAATTTCAACAGCTTAGTTCTCGGTTCATAGTGGATCAATTGGAATGAAATTTTCAGCAAATTACCTCTACATTATCTAGTTTTTAACTATTATAGCGAGAACTGCCAACTCGTTATCAAATCTCCCATAATGTATCTTTAATGGTCCCCCAAATTAATTGACAGAAACAAAACGTATGACGGTACGATGAACCCATCATCGGTATCCCATGTGGTATCGTTCCCTTCTATTAGTTAGTAGAACGGAACGATACCATTGTTAGTAGAACGAGACGATACCACTGTTAGTAGAACGGAACGATACCATTGTTAGTAGAACGGGACGATACCACTGTTAGTAGAACGGGACGATACCACAGGGGATACCGAGAATGCGATAAACCAGAATCCAGCCACCATCTTATAATAACCTATTATATTATTCTGTTCATTTGTATACATTTTATTATATCTATATAATATGTATGTGTTTGACTATGTATATAAACCCCTTTGCATTAATATTATGCATATATATCATTTAAGGAGAAGGGTTTTACATAGGCTAAGCATGTTCACCAATCCCATTCAGACAACCTGAATAAAAATTTTGTTTAAAAAAAATCTTGCACAATCCATGAGCAATTATGCAAAGAACATGTAGGCACAGTCTCGTGAATCGTACTCGAATTGACAAGTTCTATATGCTTTTTTGGAATGGCGTCTTCTCAAGAACAAGAAGAACAAAAAGAAGAATATCGAGCCAATTCCTGGTTCGAAAACTGTTTGCGTATAAGATGAATTTAACATCTAGACAGATCCGATCACGAGGGGAAAATGCCGACCATGTGTGAGATAACTAGACCTTGTATTCCACTCGACACAAACTAGGTCATTTCGGGACTAACATATGGTTTAATTTTATTTCAATAATTCGCTTGCGCGTAGGGGTCTTCAGCAGTGGCAGGAAACCGGAGGACCAGGAGAAAACCCACGAGGTTGGACAGGCGACCCTACACCTTGTCAGGTACAACCGGGGATTCGAAACCACGCCAGTTGATTCAATGACAGGCCTTATGATACAGCGCGCACGTGCTAACCATTCGACCAACCACGCCCCCCCCCCCCAACGCACCCTTGTATTTGATGTCACGGTGTGAAAAGGTATACATTTCATCTTCTTAATGCTAGGATGCCACTATCACGATTGGTGACACGACTGAAATCGTGGTGATCATATCGGGTCTCATCATATATTTTCACCAAAAAAATCGATAAAATTAAAAGGCGCCAGAATGTTAGCTATAGTTGCCTTGCAACCGCCCAATAGTCCGGTTCAAGTGTTCAATGTAGCTGCCACCAGCTTGAGTAACTGTCATATTGTGTGCTTGTTAGAGATGCTATTTGGGTCAGAGCCGTCCCAGGTCAATATCAATTCCTATATTTCTATAATCTATCCCTTTTGCCTTAGCCTATATTGCATGAACGAGGAATTCGCCATGAGATAAGTTTAGGCACGTGTAATAATAATTTTATATGACGATGAAATTCAATATAATTACAACTAAATTCAATAGAATGTATGAATTACAACCAGGGATCCCACGGAACCGTACTCGACAGGTTTTATGTCACCAGGGTGGAGACTCGAGTACATATGCTAAACTTATAAAGGATTATCAAAAGATAAAGACTTACAAATAAAATGCTGCAGCAAGTAAAATCACTATGGCAACAATCCACAGAAGAGTTTCACACCCAAAACAAGTCATTTCCCTGACACCAAATATTCACTGTTCTGACTTAAAACACCCCGTATATATTTATATACCGACTTCTGATGACATGTATAAAACTTATTACATCAAAAACTATATTGCACAATAGACCACGTATATCGATATAAAATAGTAAACCGATGTTAACTCCTCGTAACAAGACAAGCGATTTTGACAGCGACCATGACCTTGTTTTATAGATAACGTATTCCTATTAAGTGCACATGTAAAATACACAAAATGTCATGAAGCACTGGGTTATAAACTGGGCCTGAATATGAGCGTGTGTCTTTGGATAATGATCACGTGGTTAGAAATACAAATAAACGGATAAAAAATATCTGTGGGCTGGTGTATTTGGATAATGATCACGTGGTTAGAAATACAAATGAACGGTTAACATATATGGAAAATTATTAAATATGTAAGTTATTAATATTAATGATGCACCCCCATGGCACGCATAGGTAACAAACAATTAAACGGTCTGTAATTCAAGAATAATTACATAATATCTGATCACATACGAAATCTATTCAGTTCCGAATGGCATACAATGCGTGGAAATGACATATAACTTCACAGACAAGGTGAAACTTTCATCATCTGGAATTCGAATTTGTTCTCTCTTTGTCATGAAAGGCCCCCCCCCCCTCTAAACCACGGGGCCCTGGGTCTGGGCCCTTCAGGTCCATGCCTAAGCTGGGCTTTGAAGACCAATCTAATTAAAACACAGATCCTGTTTCTCGGTTCACCTACCAGACCTCTGACGTCACGAAAACCGGTCAGATCAATGCAGACTGGAGGCCACGGAACGAAATGCAGTTTAGATGTTTATTGAAATCAGACTGTATAAATTTACACATCCGCCCTTTAGCTTTAAAACGACAGTACATTATGTTTTATGCAGTACTAACGTATTTCCATCTTTACTGATGGATTTCCTATATGGTAAAATGTGACCTGTAACTGACCTAAATTGGCCATTAGTCCAACTTCTGGAGTGTCGATAAGGCTAAATGAAATTAGAACTGATAATCAGACTCCCTTATATGTTGATTGGTGACTGGCATAGAATGGACATGATGCTTGAATCAGCATACGATCCCAGAAATTATAGGTTAAAAAGTTATTTTTAATGTCTTTTGTCGATAACTTGAAAAAATTCCATTATAAAGGTCGGTGATATTATGTCTTAGAACTGATAATCAGACTCCTTTAAATGAACGGTGATTGGTATAGAATGGACATAATGCTTGAATTAGCATACAATCCCAGAAACTATAGGTTAAAAAGTTAGTTCATCTATTGTCTTTCGTTGATGACTTGAAAATATTCCATTACCCCGGTTTACCTTCCTCTGCAACTATTGTCATGTTACATTCAATTTACCTCGCGCTATCCTACCGGTAGACTGGAAATCAATGGTAATGTGTCTTTTTCAAGGATACAGAGAAGCGAAAAACCACTAGAGGGAGAATCGAACTGATTATTCGAATCTTAGCCTCGCTTCTCCATGTTTTAATTAAATCATTAAATGACTGAACATTTCTAATCATGTTAAAATCTCAGAAAGAAATATTTAAGGTGTAAAATATAAAACCTTCTATTTAATTAAAGGTAAGATTGTGTTAATTATAAAAATCAACGAGTCAAATCTAAAACGTGTTAAAATCTGACGAGTCTAATTCTATAAAATAATAGAAACCTGCCAGAACAGGTAAAACCTATTTAATTTAATTGTTCTATAGATATGTAGGTGTCGGTAGATGAATGTGTTCAATCTTATTTGTTCTATATGCAAATGATATTGGTAAATGGAATGTAATTAACTACACACAAAAACATCTTCTATTAAACAAGAACAATTTAACTTGTATTGTTCTTCCATCTGATCAGATTATACAGAACAATAAACAACAACAAAACAACACGATGGTCACTAATTTAGAATCTTGTAGGTGACATAATTTCTATAAATGTTCATTACTCAGTGATTAAAGTCAGTACAAAAGATACTCAAGATGTTTAATAAAACTCACAATAAAACATAATAATGTCAATTGAACATCTTTATTAAACATTCTCGGTGCCACTTCAAATAAGATATAGTCTTCGGTGTCATTTCAAATAAAAGGTTGTCCTCGGTGCCATTTTAAAAAAGAAAAAAACCACATAAAATATTAATGGTTTAATAAAGAGATTGAAAAAAATCGTCATAAACTGATAAATACATAAGTAGCACTAAAATCATATATTTCTAAATATATACAACTTAAAGTTATACAAATACAACTAAAAGTTATACAAATATAACTAAATGGTATACAAATACAACTAAATAGTATAATATACAATTAAATAGTATGCAAATACAATTAAATAGTATACAAATACATCTAATAGTATACAAATACAACTAATAGTATACAAATCCCACAATAGAATCACAAGCGCATCGAATTACCCAAATAACAAAAAAAAAAACCGAAATCCAAACCTCCCCTCATTTAACTACAAATACCCCTAAATTAAATGTACACCCAGATCTGCTGCTCATGAATATATACACATTTTTTAAACATAATTCCCTAAAAATCTGAAATTGAGAAGAAAATAATGAAATAACATTGTTTTATGGTATTGTTATTTAAACATAAAACTATGATGTTAAAAACACTATTTTAAAAAATTCCCAGATTGCTTCATTAAGGTAGAAGTGTAGCTCTATCGTCGTTGCGACATTGTTTTTAAATTTATAGACAAGGAATAGAGAAATAAGATGACTTTATATTTCATTAATTAATATCTTTGGCAAGTTAGTAATTTCAAACATATTCACATATGTAGTGTGTACTAAATCAACTTATGGTATAAATGACATATTGTTATATAAAAAAGAGCTATTTAGCCAAAGCAGGTGTCAATAATTTACCACCAGATTACATGTGAGTTGAATTATTCTAATTGCATCATTTGGCATAAAGTAACCAATCATATCGTTAATTACACAAGTTCAGGGCCATGATCACACTTGATTGTGCGTGATATTCATATGGCTATAAAAGAAAGCGCAGAACTTTGTAAGACAGACTTCCATTTGATTCCAGAGAGGTTCCATCTGAGTTCCTAGACAGCCGCGAGGCTGGCTAGGGAGGAGAAATGGTTTTAGCTAGTATTGTAATCTGTGCTTGTATACATGTATTCGGCTATGCTATATAAATGTAGAAGCAAACTGTTGCATTGTTATTCCTGGTAAGAAAAACGTCATAAGAATATGTAAGAAGTAAATACACAACGTGAAGCAGAAGTAAATACAGCTAGAGACAAATTCTAGACGATCACAAGGCTACAGAAATATGTAGTAAGAAAAGATGCATGGGTCGTATGTAAGGTGTGGCGACCAGTTTCCGACACCACCCACTCTCCACGACTGACAAAAGACCTATGGTGCCACAGAAGTCTGAGCAATACAAGGGTAAACGGGACAAAAAAGTCGGAAAACCGGTTGTCCTGGGATACGGAATTTTTTCGGCAAGACTGCGATGGGAGGCTGTACCAGGATAGAACTCCCTGATCCATTGTGGCTTCTGTAGACGTCTAGAGTCAATTCACTGACCGAAACGGGATGCCGAGTAGGAAAAGATTGGGGATCCCTGACACGGAGCAAGGAATGCTTACTCATTCCTGATGACACTTAAGTGAACAAAACAAGGTGCAAGAGGGAGAAAAGGATGGGGATCTATGATATAGAACTAGGAATGCTAACTCATTCCAGGACACCAGATGATACTTCTGCTGTATTTGGGGAGTGCAGATAACAGAACAGAACAGAACAGAAACAGTAAATGGATTTCATAATTCAACATATTCACAGAAAGAAACACCAAACAATTAAATTAGTTATATCTTTTCTTTCCGGTCATATTATATTTATCCATTTCGCTCTTCCAGTTTTACGAAGACTCCATTTTTAGGTCTGCACATGAAATCTCCAGGAGTTAGTTGTATGGTTGGTGTCTGAAAAAAATAATATAATGTTTCAGTTTACTAAAGCCTAGTTAAGGGGTCGCCATTTTGTAAGATCACGTGATATCCGTTACCACTACCCTAACGCACACACTGGTGATTTGTTTTAGATATATTGGGGTAATTGCTAATCGCTGACAAGCTGCCTACGAAAACCGCCCGTGTGAGCTAGGTTTAACAGACAAACACTTTAGACCTATGGATTGGTTTCTGTTGGGCAACACAAATTACTGAGAAGGGGGAACCTGGCTGGAAAACCCCCAGAAACTGTCTCGACCAACAGCGGGATAGAACCTGGAACGTCCTCGTTAGCATGAAATAAAATATAATGGGGTTTAACGTCCTACTGTTTTGCTCCAATTGGGCTAATGAAGACGGGTTGGGCAACACGGCTCGTAAAAGAAGACTGGGCCTTTTTCTGTTTCGTTATATTTTGACAATAAACTAATAAATACCAACCTCTGTTTCTGGGGAACAGATGACTCGATATTTCCTGAGAATGCTGACCAACACAGTTTTAATTTCCATAAGAGCCAAACGATTACCGATACAATTCCGTGGACCAACTCCAAATGGTAAATAACAATATGGATGTCGTGAAGTTTTCTGCTCGGGTGAAAACCTTGAAAATATTAAAAAGCATAATTAAAATGAAATAAATCAACGTCACATGTATCATTCTCAAAATCAATCAACAATGCATGTTTACTTTAAATGAAATGAAATAGTGTTTATAATGGCGCGTCAGCACCAACCGGGATATATTGTACCAAACATATAGCAATGTTTACTGTAAGCGAATTACATGAACAAAATGAACAGATGTGACCGAGGAAACTTTCCTTCGTTTTTACAGTATCTTTTGCTCAGTTAATATTGCACCAAACATGGCGATCTCTACGAGACGGTGCCTACGGTAACCGAATTATATGAACAACTGGGAAACTGACTTTTTTAACTGTATATGTGTTTCAATCTTCCTTTGTTTCAATGATAACATTGTTGAGGAGAAAACTTAACCAACCGTTCTGGGTCAAATCTATCGGGATTTTCCCAATAATCAGGATCTCTGTGGATGGCATAAATTGGCAAAAAGATTTCCATTTCCTTCGTTATCTTGTAACCATTCAGTTCCATTTCTTCAGTAACTGCACGACTCGTTCTAAAATATATACACGCATATAGAAACCAAAACAATTAACGTCCTACTTTTCTGTCGACTTCAATGGTATATACCGGGGCCGAGATTGTCTTGTCCAAGATAGAGATATCAATCTTTTGACTAAACGCATTTGCTTGTCAAGTCCTTCTTCCTAACTCACTGAGAAGACGGAACCTGGCTGGAAAATGCAAAGAAACTGTTTCGACGACATAGTTATCATGAAATGAATTGAAATAGGGTTTAACGTCCTACTGTTTTGCTCCGACTGTGCAAATGAACACTGCGAGGCAAACAATGTGCAATGAGGGAAAGTTTGCCCTTCCAGCGGCACTACGGATCGAATTGTTATTGCTAAAGGATCTTTTACGTGCACGCCAATGTGTACGCGGGACCTCGATTTTGTCCCATCCGAACGACTGGACAGCTGTCCTTGTCAGGCCCTGCTTCCTGTACCATTGACAATGGGTAACCACGATGAACTTTCTCGGCCAACACCGGGACTGAACCCGCGACCTTCGGGCTAGTGAGCCAACGTCTTACTTACTCAAGTAGCCACCGTTAGCGAGTCATACCCACTGAGCCACCCAACACCCGGATCCCCACACTGTGGACAGTGCAATGAAATATAACTGGTACCCTACTTTGTTAACGGTGGATACATCCTTAAAGTTTCATCTACTACCATCTGTAGATAAGTTAATTTACCAACATTATCATGGTCAGCTGCTTCATCCTGTACAAATATAAAACAAATATTTGTCTAATATCAATCATGTATCAAGATTGCTAGAATTATTGCTCTTTAAATTAGTCGCATTGTGATAATTAATATCTTTGGCTAATTATTAGATTCACACATTTTATAGAAGTCATATGCACTTAAATCAAAATGGATGAATGATTGATAAGTTGACATATAAAAAAGAGTTATAATTTGCTAAACATTCAATTTTGGGTTGATAACAGATATCACGTGTGAAATTTCTACTGTAAGTTTCCACTGTCCATACAAGGGAGGTTTTCGACGTCATTAGGCTATATAACCAATCGTTATAATTAATTACGTCATATTTGACCAATTAGATAATTGAAGGTCCAAACCCCAAAGCTACAAGACCATCATATTTCTTCAAACAGCCGTTTGATTCCGGACTGAGAATATGTAGCAATCTCTATCAGCAGACTTGCCCCAGCGAGTCTGGCTGGGTGAGGTTTGAGAGAATGACTTTATTGTAATCTATTATGCATTGTACCATATGTAAAAACGAACTGTTGCATTGTTATTCCTGGTAAGACAAACGTCTTAACTACTGAGACGACAAACGTCTTAACTACTTGGATAAGAAGAAGATAACAATCTTCTTTTGCACTGTGAAATGGCATCCATTTTTTTCCAGATCGATTTTGATTCTGGAAAGAATCTAAACGCCATGCCATTGTGGTTACTCATAATCAACAATTAAGATATGTTTACTCAATATCAACCATTAAGATGTGCTTGCTAATAATCAACCATTAAGATATGCTTGGATAAAATCAACCATTAAGATATGTTTACTCAATATCAAGATATTATACTTACTCATTATCAACCATTAAGATAAGATTATTCAATATCAACCATTAAGATAAGACTACTCAATGTCAACCATTAAGATATGTTTATTCAAAATCAACCATAAAATATTGTAATTACTGAGAACATCCATAAGCGATAATAGTTATGGACATGTTACCTTTGCGAAATTTGTGTTTATTTCTTCCACCACACGTTCCTGAACTTCTGGGTGTGTTGCGAGATTGTAGAGTGCGAATGTTAATGCAGTTGATGATGTGTCGTAACCAGCTAGCAAGAAGACCACAGCGCCACTCCATATATCATAGTACGTAAAAGCTATAACATAAAAGCAAATAGGGTTGCCAGACGACGAATATGCTGTGAAAAGAGTGTCGAGGGATATCATCAAGGTTTCTGTGACAGGGGCAATAAACCTGCAGGTCCGAATAAATTGTCAAAACCTGTGACCTTGGTGAAAATTGACGTTTGACTATAAGTTCGATAGGATTCCCATTTTCTCCTGAGCAATAATTATGTACAAAATGGAAATGCTACTTTGCCGAAGAATCCGTGAGGGATTTGACAAAAAAAAGTCTCAAAACTCTTGAGCAGTAAAGCGCATTCCTTTTAGATTTCGGTGGCACGGGCAACAGCTCTGCATAAGGGTGCATCCTCAGAACAAATTGAACAACTTCAACAATTCTGCGAGAACGATAAAATGCGGAGAAAATTTTAAGTAGAGCCTATAACGGACGGACGGACACGGGTGACGATAATACGTCTTTTTGTGTCACGTGAACTGTTTATTTTGACACGTAATAAAGGAAGAATTATTCTAATAAAATACCAAAATATTTACCCAAACCATCTTTGTTATCTTTGGTTTCTTCGTTGGCATTAATTAACAACTGGAGGAAATCTTTCCGTTTCTGGAAGTATATTATTAAGATGACCAGGGATATAAATAAATGTTCACACGTAGTTTGGGAGCCCTTCTGAATTTACGTCGTTTTTGATGAACTGGACGCACGCAAGCGACGCGTAAGTCTCATACACGGGTTTACTAAAACCTCCCCGTAGACTATTTCGTTTCGTTTTTATAGTTCAAAATTTTGTTTTACTTGCCTTTACTACACTAGGATCTGGAGGAGTTGTTATCATTGACGTGTTCTGGGTGATGTGGGGGATTAATCAATGAAACGGTCTGTTACGGCGAGTTCTTGGTCTTTTGATGCACGGAACTGTGGGTAAACCACTAGAAACGTCACCTCTGATTGATTAATCAATGTCTGACGTCATAGGTCAAAAGCCGCTCGTTTGACCCCTGACGTCAACTCCCACTATAACTTGTCAGATCTTCATGTAGTGTAGGCCATCGAAAGAATAAATAAAACGAAACGAAATATAGATCTGTATTTTAATCAGCTTGCATTTGTACATAAGCAAGGACATTTTCTCGAAAACCGACCAAGGCCTACTAGAGTGGGATAAAAGGTATTCTTACTCTGCAGTATTTGTTGCAATCAAAGGGCGAAATGTTTGCTAAAAAAAAAACAATTAAAAGAACAATGTGCTCAGAGTTGGAAAATACAAGACTATTTTGGCGTCACTCCGCTAGGCCAACATTGAAATACTATATGAATGTAATACTATATGAATGTGAGCATGTACTTACACTTGGATTTTCTTTCCTTTCCTTAATAATATCATCAATAAGTTTTGTAAAAACAGATTTGCAATCACTAGCCATAAAACCAATACCTACAGACTCGAATACTCTAGCCATAAACGGGAAGGTAGCTTGAAATATAAAAAAATGGGTTATAAGACGAACGCAATAAATATTTCCTCATATTGACTATATTACTCGAAATAAAATAATGATTTGAAGTTTAATGTGTGAGCTAATGACGACGGACATACGCCATTGCCCGGACAGCGGCGCTACCGTCTACTCTTATTTCGAATTCCAACTGTCGACAGTTCTTTTAGATGCTCGCAAATGAGTACAAACGACTAGACGTTATTCCTAACCAGGCTTTTCGCACTGCACCACGCAAGAAAATCCTGAAAAACTTTCTTGTTGGGCAAGAAATATAACAACTTTTGGTCTTCGAAGGAATTATTAGTGAGCAGAAATTCGCGCATTGTCTGTTATCACTCGTCACTTCAGTCAGTTATATAGAGGGATAACTCGCGTTTTCCTTTTGCGTTCGTCACTTCCGATTGTTCTAACATTGATTACGCATCTATCGCAGCAATGATCTCTGTGATAAAATAATATTTGGAACGTGTTTAACCAGTTCTATCACATATGTGATATTGACTGGCACCAATATTGTCCGTTAATTTGGATTGTTCGCGCATTTCACCGAACCTAATTCATTAGATATTACAATAATTTTTAAAAAAATTGAATGTAAATCACTTTATATACATACACTCCTATCACATTTATATCTGCTTTTAGAAACATTTTAAGGTTCCACAGAATGGAGCCATGCGTCCTATAAGCCGCTGCCACCCTGAGCAATAGAAGGTGTGTATACTTACCACACAATATGGTATATGGGTCGGTCATCTCCAATTTCATAGCTTTAATACAGGCCTTGATAACTGGATTATCGGGTTCGTTCTGAGAGTCAACATCTATGCCAAATGCAACACTACAGATGACATCCAATGAGTAACCTTTGATAAAACTGAAATCGACGGTTGTATTTTAGGATCTGTGCCACTTCGAAAATCGCCCTGGACATTCGAATCTTTATGCCAAATTGCTACTCGCTAGAGAAACGTGCGCAGTATTACAATGAAAATATAAAAGCCGTTTTCCGGACCTAACCATAAATCAGTTTTCATTTTATAGGCCTCGATGACTGAAACTAGTCCTACAGATATGCACGATTTATACGCATGGGTTATCATACTGCGCATGATTCTAACATATAGACAATATACACGACATTTCAAAATTCCGAAATTGAAAAATTTAGTCTGGGCAGAAACGAAAACTGGTCATATATTAATTATTTTTAAAATAAGTGACGATCCTGTTATAAAATATTATATGCCTTACGTTGTCACGTCAACAGATTTCCCACTGTCGGCATGTTGTTCTAAATGCTTAAGTAGATTCTCTGTACATGTTTGCATCAATGGCATCATCTGTAAGCAAAAAACAAACAGACTATATATCAAGGCCAGATTGAGAGCCCCCCCTCTCCTTCCCAGCGCCCCACCCCACCCCACTCCCACATTTCCCCGCTTCTCCTATGAAAGTTTCATACGAAGCTATATGCCCCCTTTCTGATCGGGGTTAAAAAAAATAGCCTACCTCTCTTAATTTACCAGAACTAAAAGTTGGTGTCAGGATTGATCTTGAGCTCTTCCATTTTGCTCCCCGAACTAAGGTCAGGAATCCTTTTTCATACTTGTCCATTGGCAATATAGTCTGTTATAATAAAATCAAAAGACAAATTATGACTATTTTTGGTCTGATCGGGTGGCTATCAGTTTTGAAATGTTTACGATTAAATAACAAAGATATACGAACAAAGAATCCAGTAATAAAGTGGTTTCAATGATCAGTATAACTAAAGCGGTACATAAGACGCGTTTTCAAGGGCAATAATCTTATAAATGGGAATAAAGCATATAAATCTAAATTGCGATAACGTGCTTCGCCACTATAATATTCACAAGACGATTCAATTAAAGTAGCTAAGTCTCTAACTCAAAATCTTCGACATTGAAACACGATTTATTTGTCGGTTTAAATCAACATTGATGTTGTGATCTTATTGGAAAAAGATGGCCTTCTGATATCCAATATTTAAGACAAAGAAACATTTTATAGTTGGTACACGAATCGCGTACCATAATGCGTTTCAGCGCTATTTGTAATAAGGGACTCAAAAACGAGGCTAGGCATATTCCACAAGTCATGTCAAACGGAGACGCTATATTCTTATCTGGAGAGCATGCCCAATAAATACTATCGGCGTAGACTGGAATAACCAGAAGCTAGAGATTGATATTAGATTGAGAATACTGGCGTATGTCGCCGAACCTAACTGATTAGAAATTACAGTAAAAAAGAAACGATTGAATGTAAATCAGTTTATATACATCCATATTACATTATTGTATGCGTTGCGACCCATTTGTGTCAATTTCTAGGTCCCAAATATTAGCGATTTAGCTCCTTTAACGAGTCTAAAACAAGCATAAAATAATGCTTAAAGTGACCAAGAACGGTAACGCTACACGTAATTATATTAAACGAGTTTATACATATCGACCTCTCAAACAAATACAAATATCTAGTATTCAATTTCGGAACAGTGTGATACCAGCATAAAAGTGATCAAGAACGGTAAATCTTCACGTAATTACATTCAACAAGTTTATACATATCGATTTATACAATATTTAATATTACCAGTACAGCATTGGAATCGGTTTCAGTCCAATAATATGGGAAGAACACACAGCGCATGCCAAGTATGGCGCCACATTTGCGCCTCCCTTAAACAGCAGCATTCAGCCGAGACAGTGTCTCCACCCTTAACTTACAATCCAATCCTCGCGCCGTTCTTCTGACTTATTCACACAATTTTTCTTATACATCACTTGGGGCTTAAGTCAAAAATACAGCCGATATCATTTCTGGTCAGCGAGTTGGGCCACCGATTATCCGTATTCTAACCCTGCGCTTACACATGTTGTAACCCTCCCTCTTATAGACAGCACTAATTGTCTCAATGAAACTTTTGCCCTGGGGCGCCACATAGGCTTGTGAAGGCCCTGGTTGTAACCCACTCATGTTGTAACCCTCCACAGCGTAGCGCTAACTAATCTGGGGTGTGCAAGGTAACAAGAGTACTGTGCTACTGGAGGAGTGGCATCGCATGTTCTATATATAAGCATGCCCTGCATAATGCACGACACCCATAGCTTCAACAAAACTTAGCTTGTAAATACTCACTGGTCTGTCGACAAAATGGCTGAAATGCTTAATGCAAATATCCTTTATTGTGTCTGGATCGGCTACCGATAAAACCGGTAGTCTCGCGTTAAAATACCTGTATAAATAAAAAATAACATGTTTTATAATAATACGCCTGAATATATATACCGGTGGTTCTATAAGTTTGACAGAATTGTAATTGTAAAAATGAATCCATAGCCCAACTCGTGTGAAAAATAAAACATTTAACCCTTTCAACCATAGCGGATGATTTCCTGGCGTGACATTGTAATGCCCCAAAAAACGAACCGTCGATTCTCGGTTGTGACCTTCACTTGTTTACGTTCAGACGTTGGACGTCCAGAAAACAACTCTTGGCAAGACTGGCACCAAGAAGAACCAAGAAAGCAAAGCAGTGCTGGGCACAATACAAAAGGTTTTTTCTAGTCGTTGGTTTACGCCAAAACATCGGAGATCTGGCCGAACCCAATGAATAGCCCATGACAAACAGATACGTGTTATTCAATAATATTATTTTGGAAAATCCTACCCTAAAATTTTTCCATATTTCTTATGAAGCTCTATATCAATATCACCCATAGTCTGTAAATAAATAAAATATTATAACTATAGGTCGTGTCGTACAAACCAGCGAGTACTTTCTTTTGTGTCTCTTTTTCGTGCCGAGAGCAACGGTGGCTCAGTTCGTATGGTGCTGACTAACAAACCTTACACGCCTTCACATTGGTCTTCTTAGGGATCCACGTCGGCCCGTTGAGTAAGACACTGATACTTTAATCGGAAGGTCTCGGATTCGATCCCGGCGTTGAGCGGAATAGTTCCTCGGGATTTCCCATTGGGTTCCCCCTGTCAGTGGTGCAGGGGGGATGATTTGGCAAGGGACTGCATCAAGTCATTCAGATGGGACGTAAAACAGAGTTCCATCCGTGTACTCGTTAGCGCATACCACTTGACAGATGGGATTCAAGGTGAAATGCCGCGGTCCGAATAAAATTCCCCTGATAGCACACTGCAAAGCTTATTCACGTCTTGATAGTCCAGTTTTTATTGGATGTTAAACCCCGTTTCATTTGTTTACTTTATTTAAAGATACATTATGGTAGATTCGATAACGAGTTCGCAGTTCTCACTATAATAGTTAAAAATGTCAAGGCAATTTGCTGAAAATTTCATTCAAATTGATCCACTATGAACCAAGAACTAAGCGATTGAAATTTCCGCCTAGCCTCGATCATCATTACTAAAGTCAGTACGATAAACACCATAGTCTCGATTATCCATTTAATCGTTAAATCGTGAAGGAAAGTTATGCAGTAAATCGGCTCATAATCCACTAAAGATCGCGGGCTAGCGATGCCATCTAAAGTTGATTATGGTCTGGATAGGTTAATTAATGTCTAATTAATAATTCAGATAACATGTCAGGCCTAAAGAAAGACCTGCAATACACAGATTTAGCTCTTCATTAATGTATGTTTAATAAGAATATATAATCTTACGTTGTTACGATACATTGGAACCACTCCTAGTAAACCTGGTTCTGGTCCTGGGATTCCGGCATTCTTGAAAATACTGTGAGTCCATGTTATATAACTGAAATTGAGTTGGTGGATAAAATACTATAAATATCGGGCTATGGGGGGACGTATGGTGTGCTTTGGGTTCAAGGTAAATCATTATTATACCGGGCTGAAACTATAGTAAGAACAATTGGTAAAACTCATTCAATATATGGTGCTAATAAAAAACGATACCGCTAATTCTTCCATTGATAATCTACCAAAATAATGTTTGTTTACAATACGTGACGATATAGGGGGATAAACAATGGGTAATATTCTGAAATATTGCTGACACGGGGGCTTAAACTGATAAAATTTCTAAATTAATATACATATTATTGAACAATTAGTATATGTAGGCATTAATATTATATACATATATTATTTATTGGAGAGGAGTTTTACACACAACCCGAATAAAAAATATTGTTTAAAAAAAGAAATCTTGCAAAGACTCATTGATCTAGAGGCTTAAGAAATTATTTTTTAATTTTAATATTTAATGATATATAAAAGTTACCGTTAAAACGCCGAAAATGAAACATAAAGTCAATTTTTTGTTTAAAATGTTGATTTTGTGCATGAAATGTTGACATAAGAATGTAGAAACAAGAATCATTAGTTTAGAATGTTGCGTTCGTGTCTAAAATGTTCAAACTGGAATGTAGAAACAAGAATCATGAATATTGTCCCATTTGGTCTTCCATAAATATGAAGTAGATATGAATGTGGAGTAATTAAGATGGATTAAGATCCATTAAAATATACTTTACTGAATTAAGTAGTACTGTGTGGATTATCACGCCGTATTAACCATTTACTATTGGTCGAAATTCACCCTACTACAGTACTGCTCGTTAGTGATGCTATTTAGGTCACGGCCGTCCCAGGTCAATATCAGTTCCAATAATGCTGTATTTTCTATATTGTTTGCCTTAGAATATTGCATGACCGAGGAATTCGCCATGACAATAACACGTATGTCATCAGGGTGGAGACTCAAGTCCAAAGATTATAAAAAGATAAAGACTTACAAATAAAATGCTGCAGCAAGTAAAATCACTATCGCAACAATCCACAGCAGAGTTTCACACCCAAAACAAGCCATTTCCCTGACACCAAATATTTACTGTTCTGACTTAAAACACTCCGTTTATATTTATATACCGACTTCTGATGACATGTATAAAACTTATTACATCAAAAACTATTGCACAATAGTAGACCACCATATAAGTACACGTACGTTTATTATATATCATTAATATCAATATAAAATAGTGAACCGATGTTAACTCCTCGTAAGGAAACAAGCGATTTTGACAGAAACCTTGACCTTGTTTTTTAGAAACTGTATTTCTGTTATGTGCACATAACATTACGATCTATGGCTGGTGTGGTGGGATAATGATCACGTGGTTAGAAATGCAAATAAACGGTTAACATATATGGTAAACTATTGAATATGAAAGCTATTATTATACATGATTCAGCCCCCGACATTGTCCAAAATGGTCCTAAGCTTAAAGTAATCATTTACACCCCAAAACGTAGACAAGGGAATTATATAACAGTATAACGGTTTAAAGGTTTTACAAATACAAGAAAATATTAATAATCTACGCAATATTTTTTCTTATGTTTATTTCAGTCTTTTTCCATTATTTCCAGATTCGTGGACCAGGTGGTCCAGTCTGTCACTGTGCCATCTTCGTTCTCATGGTATAAGACGCCGACTCGCTAGCCTGGAGATCGGGTGTTCGATCCCTGCATTGGCCGATGTGGTTCTCCCTTGACAGTGATGCAGGACGGAGGGGCTGACAAGGACAGCTGTCTAGTCGTTCGGATGGTACGAAAAACCGAGGTTCCGTGTACAGATCCCTTGGAATTCGATATAAGAGTATAGCCTTATGCCGCTATGCGGGCAAAATTTCCCTCATGGCGTATGTCCGTCTTCATTAGCCCATTTGGGAGCAAAACAGTCGGACGTTAAACCCCATTTCATTTCATTTCGCTCTCATGGCAAAGAACTTGCATAAGCATGTTTTCCACCGATGTGTCTTGTGTTTTATCGTCTGCTTTCACAATAGTGATATCGCGGATAGGATTTAAATTGGTATATGGAATGAATAAAAGGGATTCGCTAGTTGGACTGCTCAATAGTCCGACGCTACACAAAATACTAAACATATGCAAGAACAAAGGACAGGAAATGAAATGAAATGTTGTTTAATGGCACGTCAGCTCCAACCGGGATATATTGTGCCAAACATGGTGACATCTAGAAACAAATTATATGAGATCACAATAATGTATTAATATACATAAATAAAAACAAGTATCACAGTTAGCATAATTAAAATTATGTATAAATTAGGTATATTAATATTTAAAATATAAAAAATGACAAAACAAGTATATACAAATTAAAATTTACAATATAGAGCGGTTGGGCAAATAAATTCTGTAGTGATTGGCAACGAAAGTATTTGGATCTAATATCTTTGAGATGAAGATCAAAGGAACCAACAGGTTCTGCTGAGGGCTTTAGATGGTTTGCCAAGGTCAAGGTTGAAAGGTTGAACCACAACAAGAACATAGTCATAAACCCTAACCTCTGCTGAAGACCAATCTGATTAAAACACAGATCCTGTTTCCCAGTTCACCTACCAGATCATTGACGTCACACAAACCGGTCAGATCAATATAGAATGGGGGTCATGAAACGAAATGCAATTTAGATGTTTATTGAAATCAGACTGCATAAATTTACTCATCAGCCCTTTAGCTTTAAAACGGCAGTACACAATATGATTTATGTAGTACTAACGTTTTTCCGTCTTTTCTGTTGAATTTCCTATATAATAAACTGTGACCTGTAACTGACCTAAATTGGCCATTAGTCCAACTTCTGGAGGGTCGATCGATAAGGGTCGATGATATTAGAATTGATAATCAGACTTCCTTATATGTTGATCGGTGATTGGCATAGAATGGACATGGTGCTTGAATTTATCCGAGAAATTACGGGTTAATTCCGGAGGATCGATAAGGCTCGATGATATTAGAATTGATAATCAGACCCCTTTAAATGACTGGTGATTGGTATAGAATGGACATAATGCTTGAATTAGCATACAATCCCAGAAAGTATAGGTTAAAAAGTTAGTTCATCTATTGTATTTCGTTGATGACTTGAAAATATTCCATTATCCAGTATATACTGTGGTATGTTTACCTTCCTTCCTCTGCAACTATAGCCATGTTACATTAAATTTACCTCGCGCTATCCTACCGGAAGACTGGAATTCAATGGTAATGTGTATTTTTCAAGGATACAGAGATGTGAAAAACCACTAGAGAGACTGAATAACAATCAATAGTCAAATAATAAACCATCCTCAAACTTGTCAAATATACAAGCCTAAAGTTGAGGGTAGAAATGGGGGAACGTCTAAAAGTGGGAAATATATATATAGTACATATCTACTCCGCCTTAAACATTTCAGGCAAATTGAACCTCTGGTATTGGAGATAAATTTCTTTGTATTGCTTAAAGATACATTATATAAGATTAAGTTAAACAAATGAAATGAAAATGAAATGGGGTTTAACGTCCTACTGTTCTGCTCCTAACCTGGGCTAATGAAGACGGGCATACGCCATACAGTGTGCTATGAGGGAAATTTTGCCCAGACAGCGGCACTACGGCCTACTCTTATATCGAATTCCAACTGCCAAGGGATCTTTTACGTGCACGCCAATGTGTACACGGGACCTCTGTTTTTCGTCCCATCCGAACGACTAGACCGCTTTCCTTGTCAGCCCCTCCGTCCTGCATCACATTAAGTTAAAGAACTGGTGGTTGTCGCTATGATAATTCAAAATAAGATAATGCAAAATGAATATATTGAAAATTCCATTTTTCAAATTACTTTATTCAGAGCGAAGTAATAACTGTTTGTAAGTTTGACAAGATGTTGGTTATTCGAATCTTAACCGCGCTTCTCCATTTTTAACGTAAATCATTAAATGACCGAACTTTTCTAATCTAGTTCAAATCTCGAGCATCCGATGGCATGATCTTGTCCTGTTAATAAATGTCTAATTAATAATTCATATAACATTATTTAAGGCCTAAAGAAAGAACTGCGATAGGCAGATTTAGCTCTTGAATAATGCATCTTTAACATCTCTAGTTGTATGTTAAACATGATTTTAATTATTGTCACAGAGTATCTAAATCTTAACAAATTTCATAAAGAAATATTTAAGGTGTAAAATGTAAAACCTTCTATTTAATTAAAGATTAAATTTCGTTAATTATATAAAATCAACGAGTCAAATCTAAAACGTGTTAAAATCTGACGAGTTTAATTCTATAAGATAATAGAAACCTGTCAGAACAGGTAAAACTTATTTAAATTTGTTATATAGAATGTAGATCTATTGTATAGGTAGATTCAACGTGTTAAATTGTATTTGTTCTGTAGTATTATTGTATCAGTAAATATATTAACTAACAATACAACTACACACAAAAACACCTTCTATTAAACAAGAACAATTTAACTTGTATTGTTCTTCCATCTGATCAGATTATACAGAACTATAAAGAACAACAAAACAACAAGATGGTGACTATAATGTCGAATCTTGTAGGTGACATAATTTCTATAAATGTTCATTACTCAGTGATTAAAGTCAGTACAAAAGATAATCAAGATGTTTAATTATACTCACAATAAAACATGTTAAAGTCAATTGAACATCTTTAATTAAACATTCGGTTTTGCCATATTACCTCTTTGAGCCAAATGAAACACGATTCTGTAGATTGTTCAATAGTTTAAATAAAAAGGATAAATGGAAATTAGTAAAATTTTGGGCCAGTTCCTTTCCTAAAACATTGTTTTGGTATTTTGTTCAATGTACGCGGTATGAAATGAATCTTAAAGCGGTTGCTCGTCGTTGATTGTTTTAAAAAAATGGGTTAAAGAAAAGCGAATCGTGTATTTAATTTGGTTAACAAAAACATGGGCAAATACATCTTGACACTTAGTTTTATTTACTAGACTCATTCTATCATCTACATAAATACTTTCATTCTTGATTCACATTTACTCGTTTGTTTGTTTGTCACACGTTGTAGATTTTCCCACAAAACAGAATAATGATGACACGACGTCCGTTGGGCATTTCATGACATTTCTAATTCTAATTTGATATATTTGGTGATAATATGATTTGAGTTATATATGGTCAAATTTAATAAAATACCACCCAAAAATATGATGGGGATTATTTATGGTCAAAATTAATAAAATACAACCAAGGAATATGATGTGAATTATTTATGGTCAAAATTAATAAAATACAGCCAAGGAATATGATGGAAGTTATATATTGTCGAAATTAATCAAATACAACCAAGAATTTTGATGTGAATTATATATGGCCGAAATTAAGAAAATACAACCAAGAGATACGATGGGTAATATTAATTTAACATGTAAACTGTACCCATGAAGCTGATGATCGGCATTTGAAATGAAATGGGGTTTAACGTCCTACTGTTTGCTTCGACGGGGCTAATGACGACGGGCATACGCCATATAGTGTGCTATGAGGGAAATGTTGCCCGGACAGCGGTTTTTCGTCTCAGGCCCGTGCATCCTGCACCATTGACAATGGGAAATCACGCCGGAAAATCTAGATCAACTTTTGTCGGCCAACACCAGGAGCGAGCCCGCGACCTCCAGGCTAGCGAGACAGCGTCTTACTCACTTAGCCACCATGGCCTCGTCCTAGTTAGCGAGTCATACCAACTGAGCCACTCTTAAATTGCATTCCATCGTGCAAATGGATCTTTAACGTGCAGGCCTAAGTGTAGACGAGAGCTCGGTTTTTCGTGTCATCCGAACGATTATACATTCCCCCTTACCAAGCCCTCAATCCTGCACAACTGACAATGGGGGATTGAACACGGGACCTCCAGGTTAGTAAGCCAACGTCTTACTCAGTGAGCCACCGTGGCTCCCGATCGTCATTTGAGGGGCTTTGAATCCATTGCAAACCACAGTAAAAATTGTGAAAAGTTGAATCTCTAACAGAAATATCTGTACAAACCAATAGTTCAGTATATACACAGATATGACGAATTGAAAATTTCGCAACATTTGGCATGATTTCCAAACTTTCCAAGTTGCCCTAATTGATGCCGGATTTTAGAGAAAGTATTTATATATCCCTATTCTTGAGTGTTAGATGTTTTCTATTAGATCATGCATTATTTCTAAGCTGCATATTATACACTGTCATGG